TTTAATGATGATATGTCATGGAGTAGTTCTATTTTGATCTGGTCTGTTTGGTGTCCTGGAGGCCTCTTGCATTTGTATGGGAATATCTTTCTCTAGATTTGGGAAATTTTCCGTTATTATTTTGTTGAATATATTACGCATTCCCTTCGCTTGCACCTCTTCTCCTTCTTCGATGCCCATGATTCTCAAGTTTGGTCTTTTGATGGAGTCAGTGAGTTCTTGCATTTTCTTTTCACAGGTCTTGAGTTGTTTAATTAATAGTTCTTCAGTTTTTCCTTTAATTACCATTTCATCTTCAAGTTCTGAGATTCTGTCTTCTGTTTGTTCTATTCTGCTGGATTGGCCTTCCGTTTTGTTTTGCAGTTCTGTTTCGTTCTTTTTTCTGAGGTTTTCCATATCCTGGCTGTTTCTTCTTTATTGTTGTCTATTTTTGTCCTGAGTTCATTTATCCATTTATTCATTGTGTTCTCTCTTTCACTTTGGTGTTTATACAGTGCTTCTATGGTTTCCTTTATTTCTTCTTTTGCTTTTTCAAATTCTCTATTTTTATTGTCTTGGAATTTCTTGAGTGTCTCCTGTACATTTTGGTTGACCCTATCCAGTATCATCTCTATAAAATTCTCATTGAGTACTTGTAGTATGTCTTCTTTTAAATTATTCTTGTGGGCTTCATTGGGTCCTTTGGCATAGTTTATCTTCATTTTGTTGGAGTCTGGATCTGAGCTTCTGTTCTCTTCATTCCCCTCTGGTTCCTGTACTAATTTTTTGCTGTGGGGAAACTGGTTTCCTTGTTTTTTCTGTCTTCCTGTCATTGTCCTTGGTGTTGTTACTGTCCCTGTACTGTGTAATTAAGTATTTTCTAGCTTGTAATAATAACAATGGTAATATTGAGAATGGAAGAGTGAGCTGAGATGGAAAGCAAGAAGTTAAAGAAAAGGGGAAAACAAATATACAGACAAGAGGGAGAAAGCAGAACAAGGTATCAGACAAGAGAGTTTCAAAGGTATAAACAGGGAGTGTTAGTGTACTAATCGACAGTAAGCTGAACAGACAATATAGAGACAGAGAGAGGATTGAAAATCAAAGATAAAAAAAATAAAAAATAAGTATATGAAAGTAATATCTATTATAAAATGAATTAAAATAAAATGGAAAATAGAAATTAAAAAAAAAAACCAAAAAACTTCCAAGTTTATATGCAATGCAATTTCAGTCTTAATAATTTGGATGTCCGTCTTAATCTCCAGTCCTGGAGTTGGTGCCTCAGATGTTGTTCTGTAGTTGTCTCATCAAAGGGGATGCATAAAGTAGAACAAAACTACACTCACACACACACAGAAGAAAAAAAAAAAAAGCCCCACCAAGTGTCCCCAGTTCAAATGCAATACAGTTTCAGTAAGTTTTTCGGCTTGCAGGTGTAATTCGGTTGTTCTCTCATCAAAGGTAGGGAGAAAAAGAAAAAAAAGCGTCTGGAGCTTCTGAGAGTGTATCTGCAACTGTGGCTTGCCTGCCTGCTGCTCTCAGCCTGTAGCTGGCGGGCGTTATTTATGCAGATCTCTGGGGTGAGCTTAGCACTCACCTGGTCCCACAGGCTTTGTTTGCTCAGAGTTCTCCTGGTCCGCGTCTTCCCAAGCCGTATGGGCGCCGGCCACTGGCGGCCCGGCGGCCTCCTCGGTTCTCCGTTTAACGTGAAGTGGAGATTCTCTGCGCGGCTGGAGATGTGGAGGAGTCAAAAGTTAGCCTTTTCTCGGTGATTAATGGCCTGCCAAGGTTTGTCTCCAAGCGTCCTCTTCCAAGATTTCCACTATAGGGAGGGCTCGCTTTCTGCTTCCTACCTCTAGCCGCCATCTTGGAATCTCTCGAATTAAATTCTTAAAATAAGACAAAGGCAGATAAAAGAACACTGTCATCATAGGTAGACAGATAAAGGTACTTTCAGGAAGTATAAGTTACATTTTATCCCACACTGATCAAGAAAAGAAATTTTATCTCTCACACATATATATGGAGTCATTGTACTTTTTTGGAGAACAAGGCATACATTTAGATGAAGATCATCCAGATTATGCCTATTTACATAGGTTTCTCCTGAATTTACTTCATTCATATTTGATTCCCACAGTGGTGAGATTGTTGGCAAGGTCTGTTCTGCATAGTAGGCATAAAAGAAGAGTTCTAACTTGCCTCCACAGTGACTGACAGGTATTTATTCATTCCCTGGTTGTGACTAACCTCCAAGTTGACAAAATGGTTTTCTTAGGAGTTGCATATAAATATTGAAGACAGAGCTTTGAATGGGATACATTAACAGTGTTTTGAGAACCAATAAGTATCAGGAGATGTAACCATTACTCATAGGCTGTTTCTGAGCTGGTCCTCTTGGAAGAATTTTGCTTTGGAGATATTAATGTCTAAATTGAATCCATAGGGGGATAGCAAACAAAAGTACATTTCTCACTTGTAAAATAAAGTTCCAAAAGCCAATTTTAGAAATTCAGTATTTTGAGAGTGTAGGATTGTACTTTGATTCTTAGTGAAATCAGGAAGTGGGATGGTTTTATTAGCTTTGGAATTTTTATATTGATTTGGTAGGTTTACCATTTTTACAAAATCTAGTATACTGAATTACAGAATGGCTTTTCCAGTTACTAGTTTTGGTGGGATTTTGTTTTTCTGGAACTGGGGTTTGAACTCGGGGCCTTGCATTTGCTTAGGCAAGTGCACTACCACTTGAGCCACACCCCCAGCCCTTTTTGCTTTATTTTTCAGATAGGGTCTTGCGCTTTGAGCCCACCTCCAGCCACATTTCCTCCTGTTTCCCTCTCTCAAGTAGCTGGGATTACAGGCATGAACCACTATTCCCAGCTGGGCTAGAGAGGTTTTGAACTTTAAAAGTGAAATGAAGTCTTTGTAGAATAGTTCTTTGAAAACTCTGGTATGTGAGTTTACCAAGAATTTATTTGCAATTAATACATTTTTCTGGTTTGATAAAGTGTAACAAAATCCATCATGTTCTAAAAATCTTTACTCTTAACTGTGCATGGCATCAAATTTTATCTAGTGTATCTCATTCTTTTGTCTAGCATCTTACTGAATTACCAAAAAAAATCTGACAACAGGTATGTTGCACCAGAGTGCCGTCTTGACAGTTTGTCATAAAAGCTTGCATAAGTAGGCAGGAGGTAGTCAGTTTTGAGATGTTAATCATCGCTGGGCTTTGCATCACTCAGTAAGTGTTTGGCCAGATTTATGAATACTGTCGAGTCTAACATGAAAGACTAAAGAGCAGTCCCAGTCATGCCTTAGCAAAAATACTGCAAATGGCAGGAAAACAAATCATCCCACTTTAATTCCTTTGGTAAAGGGACATTATTTTTTATGTAGTAGGGAAAATATGTATTATGGATTTCTTCTCATAAAAAATATTCCTGGATACTTAAAAACACACTGACCAAAAAAGTAGTAACTTCAGGCATATTTATTAAGGAAGCTTTGACTCCTCCCAAGTCATGTTTTGGTTTTTCCTATTTCCCTTCTGTACAGTGTTGATGACAATTATAACAATCCAGTTTTATGATTGCATTGTCTGAAAGCTCTCTCTCATTGTGAAAGTGTATATTAAGAAGCACATAATATGCCTTTTTGAGAATTTCAAATACACTTGTACACAGAGATGTCTATTACAACTGTTTTATCTAAGTAGACATGAAAATGTACAGTACATATTGGTAGTACAATAAATAGATCAGAAAATTTTTTTCATATACTTTTGAAATATATAGTGATCATCACCCAGATAAAATTAATTTTTGCCATAAAGTTACTTTGAAGAACAATAGTAGTTTCTAATATTTCTGTATGTTTTTCAAGTCCAAATTTTAGAGGAACAAAAGAATAAATACTAAGTTTTTTCAAGGTTTGCTTAGGATACTGGTCATATCATCTCAAAGCAGTTTTAAGGTGATAAGTTTAACCATATCTTAACTTCTAATAGCTTACTTCTAAAATCAATGTCTGGTATACCTGTGTTTCAGTTATTCAACATACCTTTCACAGCTAACAAACCGAGAAAGATATGTTATCATCATATTTTATCTTCCTTTTTTATTCCCAAAAGGGGAAGAAGGATGCTCATTTTATAAGATCCTGCCTCATTTCTTCAAAGTAACCATGAGGTGTTTAGAGTTTTACCAGTGCTTCTCAAACTTATGTGCATAAGAATTACCTGGTGACTCAGCTAAAATGCAGATTCTCAGTAGGTGTGAGGCAGAGTCTAATTATTTCCTAAGTTCCCAGGCAGTAATGATGTTGATTCGAGTAGCAAGGACTCACAGAACGCCAACCAAACCCTAGAGTCACCAAAGTTCTTTTTTTCTTGGCGAGTTCTTCAAGTTAGGCATTGACAACATTCAAGTCTTTTGATAAACTGTTCAATGTGTTTCTTAATTATATAAAGTGTGGCCCTCTTATAGAAGCTAGAGTAGAAAAAGAACTTGAATTTGCAATTTTATTTTAAAACCATGAAGTATGATTTTTACATCTTTTACCTTGACATACTAGAATCTTACAACTAAATGGACAATGCCTCTATATAAATACATAAATGGTACAACGCAATATCTGAAATATGGCAATACTTGCAAAATACTTAATATAAAAATGGCAGACTAATTTGAGTTTGAGGTAAATGAAGACACAGATTTAGGTCAATTATGAAAGAAAATAAAGGGCTGAGTATTCCATTTTGAGGAATGGCCAAAGAATCCTAAGAACTTGATCTGCTGGCATGAATGTCTTTAGACATTGCAGACACAAACACAGTAACAAGCAAATGTGCAATGTAGAAAGCATAGAAAACGGGGGTTGCCCCAACTTAAAAAAAAAGCTAAAATAAGATATAAAAAAATGTAGCAGCTAGGAATTCCTGCGACTAATCTGTCTCACTGAAGACAATGCAAACTGTTCATAAACATCCTAACTGAGGTAGAGAACTGGGTCAGACCACTGCTGAGAAACACGGCAAGGAATGAATGGCAAGGCGGCAGTTGCTTGTGAGGAAGGAGAAAAATCATGGAGTTCTTGAATCTGAACTCTTGTCTTCGCTGCCTTGCCAGCTCTTCTTGGATAGAGACCAATCCACTCCTGCCATCTCCACTGCTAATGTGTCTATACCCTTGGATTCCACACAACAGAAAATGGATTACTTTGAGTCTATTTAAATAGACACGATCACACTGAAACTTAATACAGTCCAATACAACTTCATAAAAATACCAGTTAAATTAAGTTTTAAATTCTAACTTTCCAAGTGTTTAATTATCTTAAGGTATGGTTGCAAAGAACTGCAATTGCCACTATTATCTTTGTCCTCGAGGAAGGAAGACATTAGGAGAATGAGCAGTTTTCAAGCTAAACGTGTCTCCACTTGATGAATGTCTGGAAGGAGCTTTTCCACCCAACAGTGACGTTTCTGCTTCTTTTATTTCCATTGCTCTTTTGTATAGTTCAGCAGCTTTTTCAAAGTCTCCTTCCTCATAGCTTTCACCGGAAAAAAAAAGAATTTTAAATGACCTTATGGTATTTAAAAAAAAGAGTAGTGGATAATTGCTTGTTTTCCCTCTTTTCTGGTATATCCAGTCAGGCAGACCTGTAAAACAGGACCCCCAAACTCTGTCCCGCGGGACATTTTCATGCCTCGTATGTCCATCATTCAGACAACTAAGGGATGCCCTGGAGCTGCTAAGGGAAGTTATTTATTATCTGCAAAGTTATTTATTATTTGTTGAGCAAGCAAAGCTCAGCACAGTAAATTAGCCCGTATCACCCCCAGCAGCAGGTCAGCGGCACATGTAAACCGCCCTCACTATTTGCCCTGACACCCTCCTCTGCACAGTAAGTCTTACAGCCTTCATTTCGCTTATGGATACAACTTTAGTATCTCTTAAAGTAGATCAGCAAAACTAACCCCTTGTCCCTCCAAAAAAGAACACCTTCAGCAGTAAATATTTTCTGCTGTTCTGCACTCAGTCAAAGCTATTCTAAGAGACTTGGGATGTATGAGAAAAGTGAAAAACTTCCTACCTGAGCACAGCTAGATTTTTTAATGTTTCTCCAACTCGAGGGTGCATCCGACCCAGGCTATCTTCATAAATCTTTAATGCCCTTTCATATAATGGCAAAGCTTCAATGTGCTTTTTCTTAAAAAGAAATAATTACAATGAAATTATTGTGTTCTATACTATAATCATTTTGGTAAGCATTTAAAAATATTAACATTCTCCTAAAAGATGCAAATAAACAGATTATTTTATGAATATTAACAGGAAAAGCAGTGTAACAGAAAAATCTAAGTTTGATACCTGGTCTGATAACCATCTGACCTTCAACAAAATAAGAAGAAATCTTCTTTATTGCCCAGTGGGTACCATAGCCAGATGCTACAAGCTTAAAGACAACATTCTATAGAATCTAAAAAACTAAGCCTGTCTCTGAACTAAACACTCAGTTGGTGTTTAATGCTCAGAAACAGACCAATGTAACTTCAATAATTTCTCAAATACTAAAAAAGGAAGAAATAGTAGATAAAAAGTAGCCTCAAATTTTCTTTATTTTCACTTGGTCATTAACTCATCTCTATCCATATTTGATTCCTGAAAGCCATTCATGTATAAAAAATTAAAATGTACAAGTTTGGGTGTGGTACCTCACCCCTATAATCCTAGCTACCTAGGAGATGAAGGTCAGGAGAATGACAGTTAGAAGCCAACCCTGGCAAAAAACACCCTGTCTCAACAAACAAGCTGAGTGCACCCATGTAATCCCAGTTACAAAGGAAGTATAGGCAGGAAAATCACAGTCTGAGGTTGGCCCAGACCCTATCTGAAAAATAACTAAAAGCAAAAAGGGTAGGGGATGGGCTCAAGAAGTAGAAAGCCTGCTTAGCAAGTACAAAGCCCTGAGTCCAAACCTCTGTACTGACAAAGGAAAGAAAACAAAGTAGAAGCTCACCATTTGGCTGTACAGCACTGCCAAGTTCACCAAGGCGGTGGCTACACTGGGGTGCTTTGGCCCAAAGGATTTCTGCCGAATTTCAACAGCCAGTTCATACAAAGGTACCGCTTTGTCAGGCTTTCCCTGGAAAACAAAAGTGTCATCTAACAAAAGTATTAAGGCAACAAATTTTCCCTTAAGTAAAATTTTGTACTGAGAAAGCAATTTTGAGGAAAAACGTCCCTGAAACATTTCCTCCCAGTTTAATGCTTAAGTTTATTAGGTGACTGAAAATCTAATAGAATATGTAAATAAAGCTATACTAAATATAAAAATAATTTCTCTAATAACTCAGAAAGCCTTTTAGGCTCACTTATTATTCACGTTTGCAGTGAAGGAAAATATGCTAAGATAGATTTACGTTAGCTACTGTACTTAAGTTTAAAGATGTCATCAAAATAAAAGCTCACTCCCACCAAATCCCCTCCAGAATTTTCTAATTATTTCCTTTTGCTCAAAGGTTGAGCGGAAATTACAGCAATCGCCCCTTCTTACTACCACACCAACTTCAGTGCCAGAAGACCAGCACGCACGCTGTAAGCAAAGTCTGCACACAGCCCATGCAGCTCTGGAACTGCACTTGCTGAAAGCAGACTTTGTGGGTAGTTTTTGGTAAAGAGATACAAAAATTCCAAACTTCACTCCTATGGCAAAGAATGGTTACACATCATTGTAGTGAAGAACAAGTAAAATAAATGTTTTTTTTTTTTCTTTGCAAAACTAAAGGTTGGACCCCAGGCTTTGTGCATGCTAGGCAAGTGCTCTACCACTTGAGCCATGCCTCCAGCTCAAGAATGAATGAAATAAAAAAGATCATTTAGTCACCTACTAAGATACCTTCTGCAGCCATGATAATTGGGTGATTTGTAATGTTTATGGTTGTTTTAGACAGCAGAGATAGTAATGATGGAATTTTAGAATTTCTGAAATGTATCATAAATTTAATTTAAACTTGAATGAATTTGTATTTAGAATGTATTTTCAGAAAAAGATCCGTATCTTAATAAAGTCTGAAATAATATTTCTAAATGTTGTCAGTTATTTGTTAAAAACAATGAAATCATTATATCCTGGGTGTGGTGGTATATGTCTGTGATCTCAGCACTTGGGAAGCTGAGATAGGAGGATCATGAGTTTGAGGTCAGCCTGAGCTATACAGTGAGACAATGTCTCAAAAACAACAAAAAATAAATTATTATGATTTTTAAGAAGCTCATCTAAAATGCCCTATCCATCAGAAGACAAATGAACCTACTGACAGTAATTATGGCTTAACTGGTTTACTATAAGACATGTAACCATGGCAAGAATTACTCACCATTTTCTTATACAAGATTGCAAGGTGCTTCACTGTGTACGCCAGAGAAGGGTGGTCAGGAGCCAGTGCTCGTCTCCGGATGTCCAAGGCTCTTTCATACAGCTCTTCTGCCTTGTCGTACTGCTTCTTTTCATTGCACAGAGCTGCCAGGTTATTCAGAGACTGGGCACAGTCGGGGTGATCTGGCCCTAGAACTCGCTCCCTCATTTCTAAGGAGCGCTTCAGAAACTGCTCAGCTGTCCTATGAACAAAACCCCAAAACAGTTTAAGCAGTTTATCCTGTAGCGGTCAGAGTCCTGAGCCAGAGTGAGGTGAACTGAATCATTTTTAGTCTCCATTTTTTTTTTTGGTAGTACTGGGGTTTGAACTCAGAGCCTCTAGGCTCTGACCACTTACGAGGTAGGCGCTCACACTTGAGCCACTCCACCAGCCCAAATCATTTCTATTCTTAAGAAAGAGATTGAAGAGAAGGACTCAGCTCAAGTCCATGGCCCTCCTGACCTCCCTCCCTTTGTTTCCATAAAGTACCTGCATGTACTCGACTCTCCGCCTCTCCTAAGGACAAACCCACAAATATTCTCTGAAACACTTTCTAACCTTTACAATTATTAGACCAAAGCCAAATAAAAGATTTTAGTATTCATTCATTCTTTCTTTCTTTCTTGTACTCTTTCTTTTCTTAGTACTCTTGTAGTGAGTACTAAGTAATTATTAGTAAAAGAAGCTTCTATGGACTAAAAATTTGTTGCATTTTTCTGAAGTTTTAAATTTGTTGGATGTCTCTGATGTCCAAAGAAATCTAAAAAAACACCTTATTTTTCAGAAAGTATAAATACTTTTTAACTAGAAAATATAAATACAAGGCTAGGACTGGCTCACGTGGTAGAGTACCTGCCTCGCAAGAGACCCTGAGTTCAAACCCCAGTTCAGAAAAGAAAACATAAATGCCATTTTGAGTCTTTTATGTCCAGGTAAACTATAGAATAAAACTAGCTGCTATCTCTATTCTTCAGTTTGACCTCCATTGATTTCAAATTTCTTCTTCGATGTTTCATGTACAATGTCAACACAAACTCACTTTTATATTTGAGATCCTAAGGAAACATCGTGAACTGAAGAAGAGAAAATGCAACTTTCAATGTGGGAATGTTCAGAGCCTAACATCCAACATGAAATCAGCACGGTTTCTATCATTTTTTTCTAGTGTAGGACTCTGACGGACAGGTAAGACAGCTTTGCCTGTGAGGGACAAAATGGGTATTTGTTTTCATGACTGACACCACGGTACTCACTCCAGGTTGTTCTGAAGATAGTAGAGGACGCCCAGCTCATTGAGGGTGCGGGCGTTATCGGGCGTGTCCTTACCTAAGGTGAGCTCTTCTAACTGCAGGGCCCGTCTGCGTAGAAGGGCAAATCCATACTGTAGCAGACACAAAAAATTAAAAACAATAACTAAAGTTCCATCCTTGATTCTGGAAAAATCCTTTTTTTTTTTCATTAATCTAAATGACAACTTTTTTTTTGGCAGTACCAGGGTTTGAACTCAGGGTCTTGCTGCTTGAGCCACACCTCCAGCCACCACCAACTATTTTTAAGTAGCACACCAAATCTAATCATTAGTAAGAAGACACATATTGCCACATGGCATCACGTTCTCAAATTCATTAGAAATTATTTTGTGAAAATGATTATATTTTAGCAAACATATACCAACCCACTACTGAACACTAAAAATTGGGTTCTTAAAAATGCAAATACCATTTCAAACCAACCAAACACGCTATAGTTAGATTTTTGTCAGCAGTTAAAAAAGTAAGTTTTTATGTGTGTGTGTGTGCTCAAATGGAAGAACTCTTTTACATCTCGACTAAGATGAAACGTTGATCAAATTTCTTTATTCTCTTTTCTAATCCTTTGCAAAAAAATAAGAATCAAAGTAGCTTTAAATTTCATCTTTCAAAATCTAACCTTCATGGGAACTTTATAATTCCACTTTTTAAAAGCCTGCTAAATTGTACTTGTCAGTAATACTAATACTTAGGCACGTATTAAAAATAAAAAAGAAAAAGTTATCAGTGCCTTTCTAGAAGTCACTTTAACATCTAAAGCTCTTAGCCAGGCGCTGGTGGCTCACACCTGTAATCCTAGCTACTCAGGAGGGAGCGATCAGAAGGATCACGGGTCGAAGCCAGCGGTTCGAAGCCAGCCCAGGCAGTTAGCAAGATCCTACCTCAAAAAAACCCATCACAAAAAAAGGACTGGTGGAGTGACTCGCAGTGTAGGTCCTGAGTTCAAGACCCAGCACCGCAAAAAAATAAAAAATAAAAAAAAAATCTAAATCTCTTAAGGTTTGTGCACTTAAGATATTCGAATTATTTTCCTCCGGCTCAAGATACAACATAAAAGAAATCTCTCATTACCAAGTTGCCTTTTCTCCTTGTAGCTTTCTGACGAATTTTAAAGGATTTTTTCCTAAAATGTTCAGCTTGTTCATATCTTAAAAAAAAAAAAAAAGTATGCAGGTCAAATAAAAGAAACATTCAGAAGATCATATCATACACGAGTATAATGAAAGCACCCTTTACCTGGTGTGAGACCTTTCCTGGCTCTAAACACACGGTGCCCTAGTAAGAGTCATGCAGTTCAAACTCTTGAACAACTTGGGAGACAGCAGGACAAAATAAACTCTAAGTAGGTGACATTTAATTGTTTTAACTGATTTGCCTCATTCTGAATGTCTAAAGAGCAGCCTAACTAAATGAAAATTCAAATTTTTAGTTTACTGCAATGACAACTTCTGCATGGGTTAATTTTTAGTTAAATATAAATGTGAAATTCACACAAACTTTGTGTGAAACAATCCCTGTAGAAGTCAAGGGAGAAACTTCCGATATGTGTCCCTGTGACAGAGCGAGAAGTCACTTTTGACGGGCGGTCCTCGGCGGTGAGTCTTACTTGCTCTGTCTCTGGTACAGGGCTGCGAGTGCCGCGAGCTCCCGGGCAGTACGCGGATGGGCTGCACCGTAGGCGTTTTCCGAGATCTCCAACGCCTGCTTGTATAGCTGCTCCGCGTTGCCAAACTTCTTCCAGTGCACGTGCACACTGGCTAGTTGGTGGAGCGACTGGGCTACTCCGGGGTGATCTGGATCCAGTGCGGTTTCTCGAATTTCTAGAGACCTCTGCAAGGGCACCACAGCCTGGGGGAGAGGGGGAGAGGCTGAGAACTGTCCTGTACTGAAGCACAAAGGATCTCAGCACCCCACACGAAAGCTGCTTCGCCACCTTGGAAGGAGAGAATAGACCCTCGCTTCCATCAGGTACCTGACTGAGAAGGCCCAGGTCCTTGAGAAAGCAGCCCAGCGTCTCATAAAGGTCAGCCAGGCGGGTCATGCTGTCCTCGCCCTCACAGCTTTTCTCAAATTGCTTCAATGCGTCAAAGTACTCTGATGCCATCGCGCTTTTGTCTTTGCCAACAAACTGCCAGTAACTCAGCAACTCAGCAAAGTGTCCCCTGTTTCAACAAGTAACAGAAACTTGTAACAGATAGACTTTAAAATCCACTACAGGGTGAAAATGCCAGAATTCCTATCAAGTTACTACTTATAGGCAAGTGTAAGTGTAGAGGGTCACACTTGGACAGTTACCTGGGTCCCACTGCTCCCCAAGTGTGTGATCTGCCCTCCCACACCTGCAGAAACGGGGCCACTACACTGCTAGCCTCAGTGCTGCTCTACTTGGTCACAGCCCACAGTAAGGACTCCATGGTGCTGCCTGTTATCATTAATATCATCATGGTTTCCATTGTGGTCTGAATGTGAAATGCCCCACAGGCTCATGTGTTCAATGCTTGGTTCCCAATTGGTGGCACTATTTTGGGAGGTTGTAGAAACTTTAGGAGGTGGGGCCTGGCCAGAGGAAGTAGGTCACTGGGAGTGCACCTTTCAAAGTTACACCTGGCCCCTGCCTCCTGTCCACAATGAAATGAAGAAGCTCCTTGGCAACCTCACACTGCCACCTCCATGATGGTCTGCCCAAGGGCATGGGGCTAAGCAGCTGTGGACTGAACTCTCTGAAACTGTGAATCAAAGTAAATCCTTCTTCCCTTAAATTGCTATGTCAGGTATTCCGTCACAGTGATTCTCCAATGGAAATTCATCTGAATTCCTTTTCGATATTTCATGATGTGCAATTAAATTAGTTTGCTCCAAAAATTATTTTAAGGGATGGAAATGAGATTAGAAGATACTAATGGAACAAAGTGCCATAGTGTAATCACTGAGTGATAAAATTTATTCATCCAGAGGTGATTGTAAGTAGGATGAGAGAGAACAAATCTGACTTCAAAGGAATCATGAAAAATTGCAATGGAGAGCAGAAAAAATTTAACAAGAGCAACAAAGAAACGTGTGAGGATAAGCTCACTTAGGAGCCAAATTATGTAGCTTCTTTATGAAAAATGTCGAACTTTCTAAGACAGAAAAATCCCCTCCTGAAGCTTAGTAGGTCAGAAACTTGGTTTATAAAATGGTAGCTATGTCATTGAAAAATTCAAAGATCTCAAAGGAGACAAGCAGAATACATCTGTGAATCCAGGTAACTCTTTCTTTAAATTCTTTAAGAGTGCAAACTCCCCATTTCCACCAAAAAAAAAAAAAAAGCCATTTTTACTGTTACAAAGAGAATAACAGTTTACATGTACCTATAGCAGGGAAGAGGGCCAGAAAGGAAGCAAGTCTGTGTTCTGATAATGTAGCAGGGTGAGGGAATGGCATAGCAGGGAGATAAAACTTAAAGAATCTGAATGTGAAGAAGGTCACTTAGTACTGGGACAAAGCTAGCCAATGAAACAGTGTGTAACCATGTATGGATTAAACTTTGTATCTGGCTTCTGTAACCTGCCTAGAATGGTGTACAAGGCAAGCCCCTTTGTTCTCAGAGCTCAGCCTTTGGATGTGATGTGAATCCACTGAGCCACTGCCAGCACGTTAACAGACATTGCTTCCTGAAAAGCCTTGGTGTCCCATTTCCCCACTTGCACATCCCACAATATACCCTTCTGGGAAGAGATGTTCTAGAACAAGCTGCTTACCTTTTGTAAAGGTTTTGAGACACAAAGAGATTGAGCAGGCAGTCGTGCAGCTTCTGTTTACTTCCCTGCTGCTGAAGAAGCCAAGGGAGCTCATCTGCACTTCTCCAGGTCACTCGGTCCTGACTGGGGAGAAAGGAGGCAACGCTCAGTGATGCCCTCCCACAGGAATGCTTCCAACGGCTTCAGAGGAATGTTGGAGGAAGAAATGCATATTCACATGTTTAACATGTATGTCTTTCTTTAAGTGTGATCTCATACTAAGAAAGTTGGGTCATAATCAAAAACTTTACCAAGCTATGAATACATTTAATGATCAACCATCAGCCAAACTTCCCCAGACATATACAATAAAATATCGAGACACACAAGAGAAGTCAAAACCTTGGGCTTTTAAAACCCCGTACTTGAAAGGTATTCTTATAAAGGTGAACTTCAGTGAACCCAAATGTACACAGAGTACACGCACACATATTTTTAAATAATTATGCAGAATAAAATAAAGATAACAGCATGATCCTTCATTGATTTCACCTAAGTTTTAACCTTTAACATGGCATTAAAGACTCCCTTACACAATTATCTTTTGTTCTCTTAACATTAAAAGAATAGGGAAAGAGTGTTCTTTTTTCTAATAATAAAATTTTTACACTTCGAGTTGTAAGCTAAGAAAGATAAATAAGGATACAAAGGGAGAGTGTGCTGCAGATGTTATGGAGCAACACACAGTTATGGTACCTTAGCTGCAAGGAGAAATAGCTGATGAGCTTTTGCCGATAGGAAGAAGTAATGGTGGGATCCTCCATGTACTCCAGTCTCACCGTTTCCCAGGCCAAGGGAGGGAAAGAAAAAAAAATATTGCATCCTGTTTTAAGTAAGTCACTGCACATCTAACAATGAATTTGTAAAAAGGAATTTATAATTATTTTACTTTTATAGGTATATATTAGAAATGGTACTACAATATTTTAAAATTCAGGTTATATTCATGTGATACACTTATTTTAGAATAAAAATTCCTATACTAATACCTAAGAACCCCAAACATTTTAATTTAAACTTTTAGCTAATATACTCTTTAAAAATCCCAGAAAAGTAGAGTGAAAATTTGCTTAAAAGAGTAAATTATATTTAAGTGATATACAATAAAGGAGAAAAGCTGTGAAATTACAAACATTTCATGGTTACAAGTATAACACAGCATAGTCAGATGGATGACCTCATTTGTATGCCCCTACAAGTCAATCAAGGCACAGGACATAAGAGTCGTATTAGCCAAGAGTCCTAAAGAGTTATGGCTGTGTGCAAGACACCAAGTCTAATACCTGATGAAGACCAAAGGCCATCTCATTTCTTTTCACAGCCCTGTGGTAAACTGGAAAAGTCTGCCCAGGACTCAGAATTTGCCTAAGGCTAGGCAGCCACTGAACTATGAAAAGGCAGATTGTAAAAACAGGCTGACCACAGAGTTCTAGTTCTTAATTCATGTATAATTGTAGCAGCAATTCAATTAAACATAAAGCTGAAAAAAATTTTATTTTCCGGAAAGAAACTACGTTTTTGTTATGTCTTGGTTTTTTGGCCTTTTGTGACTGTTTTTTTCTGTTTGTTTGTTTTTAAAATTTTGCTGTGGTAAGAATGATTAATGAAATCTACCCTCTTACCGAACTTTTAAGTATCTAATTTAGTGTTGTTAACTACGGGACAATGAGGTACAGCAAATCTCTACTATGCCTCTTACAAATACCACTTTTTAAAAAGTAATTTATTTACCTATTTATTTGGCGGTACTGGGTTTGAACTTAGGGCCTCACACTTGCTAGGCAGGCACTCTACCACACAAGCCACAGCACCAGCACAGATAGAATTTGTAAAGTAATAGCACTTCATGAAGTTACCACATAAGCATTTTATTAGACAAATTTTACATCTAACCTAAAGTGATTACCAAAAAATTATAATGCCAAATTACAGATATATTTGTTTTGTAACTAGAATATTTAACACAATAAAGTATAACATGGAATGAAATAGACACTAATAAGTAATAATTCTTATTAAGAGATGCTTGAAATAACTTACCTGCAGATGTTGGAACCTGAGCAACCCACAGCCATAAGTCAACAAACACATTTTGTGTAAACTGTGGATAAGGGAAGTCAGGACAGCCCAGGACATCTCGGGATACAGTTCCATCAGTTCTGATTCACTGACACCATTGTGACTGACATTGACCAGGCAGAGAATCTAGGTAGAAGAACAATGATCCCAAAGCACCTCTATAAGTAAGTAGCAGCCACTAAGATTTTCATAATTCTTTTGGGCTTTTTATTAACTTTTTACCCAAACTCATAATACAAATAATTTAATAAACCATAAAACAGATTTTTTATAATAAAGCATGTTTTTCCAAAAGGCATTGATCAAGAATAACTGTCTATATAAAATCTAGCACACCAAAGGTTACATACATAAAGAAAAAACTTTAGTGAAAATTAAAACTGCATAAAATGCATCCTTAAAACTAATGACAGAATTCTAATTCAGGGAAAACACTGGCAGGTAATAGCTCTCCAGTTATAAATGCCTGTGAATAGCAGACGACATAAAATAGGTCACTGTAAACCAGAGGCCAGGTGCTGGAGCTGATGTCTGTTCCTGGGAGAGGTGGAGACAGAGACAGGCAGCAGTTGCAGTGACATAAGGGCTTGAGTTTCACATCCACAGTGGGATGGAGGATGAGCCCTCAACCTCTATAAGGCAAGAGGCTGGACCTGGAATACTTGCCACTACCAGGACCTATCAAGGGCTATGCGCTCAGTAAGGAGGGACATGAGCCAAGTGTCAGCCATAAACATGGAGACCACACAGGGCGCTCAAGGGTGCCATGAGAAGTCAAAGCCCTGGAAACCAGCCAGCTGAGAAATTAACATAAAAACGGACCCAGGTTCAAATTATGAGTTCCGCAGGGTGGCTAAATCATAAAATAAATTTTCAAAATCAAAATTGAATATGTGAACATATAATTATTTTAATTATCAAATACTTAATCTTCACAATAGATGTGCAGCATCTTTATGGTAGAGAAGATAAAACAGTACCTAAAGAAGTTAACTGCATAGTGTAGAGTTATTTAGCTTTTCATGGAGAAGATTTTTATAATTCTCCCTAAATAAATGAGGGCTGGCAGAGTGGCTCAAGTGGTAGAGCACTTGCCTAGCAAAGGTGAGACTCTGAGTTCAAATCCCGGTACCACCAAAATGAGTTTTTGTGCCACTTGTGGAGCAAATTTTATTTATAAAATAAATATGCCTGCCTATCTCTGTCTCCACTTTGCCTAGGCACATCAGCTATAGTAGCAGGTCCTCTGAAAACTCACTAAGGCAATTGTGAAGAACAGTAACAAAGAGGACTTGAGTTGTGATAACAAAGTGTGGTGTTGGCAAAAAATAGGAAAACTGAGTAGAAGAGTCTAGCACAAACCCTTGTGCTTGGTAGGCAGGTGCTCTACCACTTGAGCCATGCCTCTCCTCTTTTTATTTCTGGTTTTTTTTTTTTTTTGCCCAGGACTGGCCTGAGATCATGCTCCTCCTACCTATGCCTCATGTGGCTGGCATAACAGGTCCATACCACCATGCCTAGCTTACTGGTTGAGATGGGGACTGGGGTCTCACTAAGTTTTTGCCTGGGCTGGCCTGAACCACGATCCTTCTGATCTCCACCTTTTGGGATTACAGGCATGAACCACTGCACCCAGCTAAAAGTAGATTCTTCCTCACACAATAAACAAAATAAATCAACATGAGTTAAGGATTATACACACACACACACACACACACACACACACACACACTGTAAAACTTTTTTATACACATGGAAACACTCATAATAACAAAGGATTTTTTAAAGATATAATAGGCATAGACCATAAAGGAAAGTGTTGATAAAATTTGATTTTCTTTTTTCAAAATAAAACTTTGAATAAACGACACCATAAAGTTCAAAGACAAGACACAAGTAAGAAAAAGACATTTATTTGCAAACTCTGTAACAAAGGACTTGCATTCAATACAGAACATTTAAGACCTCTTAAAGATGAATAAGACAAAGACAACCTCATTAAAAAATGGGGAAAGAACCTGACCCAGCAATTCCCATAAGAAACAAGGATAACCAATGAGCATGACGACATGAGAAGTCTCAATGATAGTCGGCAGGCACACTGGCTGCCAGCATTCTTGTATATGCTTCAAACATACTGAGCACATAGTAAAAGAGAATTATCCACTTCAATTCACACAACTACAAACAAGGAATTGCTTTTATATGTTCCTTTACCTCTCTCATAAGCTCTTTATCAACATCCTTTGCCATGGATTCCTCGATGGAACGCAGAGCAAGTCTATAGAGCGAAACTGTGTCTTGACACTGGAGACACTGGTGAAGGATTTTATCCACGTTGCCTGCTCTCCCAGCACTGTTAGAATTGAAAACAGATTTAATTTCTGACAGGCTGCCAACTGAAAACTTGGGGTATATAAAAACAATGTCATCTCTATTGTTTGCATTACAACTGATAATGGGTTCAATCAAATGCAACACAGGAAAATGGCAGTTTTGTGGGGTTGCTAGAGTCATCAGTTTATCTCACTATACCTTTTAATTTGATTCAAAACAAGTGCTGGGACTTAATCTATGTTAAGTAATTGCTATGCATTGTGGGACATAAAAATGAGGACATGGCTCATACCGTCCAGAAGCATGCCACCTACATTCAAGAAGCCAAGAAGTAATGACAAGCATTGTTAATTAGCCATGCATACTGAATTTTGAAAACATCAGGCCAAACTAAAGAAAATCTTAACTACAAAATATTACACAAGGGCTAGGGGTGTAGCTCAGTGGTAGAGTTCCTGCCTGGCATGCTTGAGTCCTTGGGTTTGACCCTCAGCACTATAAAAAAAACAAATAAATAAACAAGCACCCATAATATTTACCAGCAGTTTCTTTTTTAAATACAAAATGGTCCCTGTAGTCCCTCTTAAGGCAGATACTTCAGTAAATATTTTGAAGTATGTGGAAGGTGACTCATCCTCTGAACTGCACTCACTTTTGGCGTAACTTAACAGTGGAAAGGATGGTGGAAATGTCACTGGCATTTTAGAAGATTTTCTTATTTCAAACTTGGTGCTCAAGATGAGAATGTGAAATTAAGAGGCAGGGGTACTCGATTCAGGAAGTAAGAGTTGTGCAAGGATTATTATATGCCATGATGAATACCAAAAATAATCTTTTTAAAAAAGTCTTTGAGGATAGACAAAGTAGAGTGAAGCTGTACTGAAGAAGAAATATAAGTAGCAAAACATTCTAATGCTTATTTAAAGGCAGGTTACTAATGGATACCAAAAACAGAAGAACTGAGCTGGCAGAGTGGCTCAAGTGGTAGCAGCACCTGCCTGGCAAGTGTGAGGCCCTGAGCGCAAACCCCAGTAGCGCCAAAAAAATAAAAAATAACACAAAAGAACTACTTAATGACAAAACATTTATCAGGATTTGAGAACAGAGACAATCAAAAATTCCCACTTACCAACCTACCAATATTCAAGGACCCCTGAAATAATATTATTACACCTCATTTGTCTCTTCCACTTTCTTAAAACCTCAGCAGGTAGTAACAAGCACTTACTTACGAGGGACCCCAAATGGGAGTGAAGACCGCCTGTTGTAACTCCAATATGAAAGGGTAAGTGTGATCAAAATTACACAAATGTATCTCAAATTATGACAAGTCTTAGGCTAGTCAATCTTCAGCAGTAAGTCACATTCTCACAGAGTGTTAATTAGGATAGACAGAAACCCGAGTGGCCCAGTAAAATGTTGCAGTGGGGTGCAGCTCTCAGTTCACAGGGTGAGGAATTAGTCTGCAGCAAACACAAAACATATAGAAGATCAAGGACAATGACCACCACTTACCGTGTCATCATTTTGCTGAAAAGGGTGACATAGAGGGCATTGCGGGTTGTAGCAGAACGACAATGCTGCTCTAGCTTCTTCTCCTGCACCAGTTTACCAAGGAAACAAAAATATAATAAAGACCATCCTGGAATTAATCCGTCATTGCTACTGAGTCATTCACAAATTCTCCAGCAGAACCAGCACTGTTCCCACCACCTCATCAGTGACATCCACATGGGTAGTGGAGGATCCCCTGGCTACTGTCAGCCTTGCAGCTGCAGACAGCAGATGCAGCCAATATGAAGACACCCTTTTGCCTTTAATACCTGTTTAGTATGATATGGCATTCCTTGAGACCAAAACCTTTTCTTGGCAGGACTGGGGACTGAACTCAGGGCCTTTCTCTTGAGCCAACGCCCCGTCCTTCTGCTTTCAGTTTGCTTTTCAATAGGGTCTCACACTTTTGCCTGGGCCAGGTTTGGATGGTGATTCTCCTACTTCCACCTCCCACGTGCGTGGGATTACAAGCATACACTACTGTGCCTGACCCCAAGACCAAAATCTGTCTATTGCTTCTTCTATGTCTGCCATTAAAGAGGGAGTGCATATACCAAAGTAACTACTAAACTCAAATTTTCCTTACGACAACAGACTTCCTATATTGAATTTTAAGTCTCATATAAGATATTTTTACTGGAAAGCTGACAAAGAGAAAAGACAGAATCAAACTTAAAAAACTTACCTGCTCTTTACTCACTGACATGTCTGCAGAGTGGCATTCTGAAAGTATAATACATTTTGCATCGTTTGGATTTAAAGGATCTAGGTGAAGTGTAGGCCACAACCTTTTGTTTAAAGAAAAGAAAAATGGAATTCTAATAATACAACAAGAACTATAAGTTGCCCACGCGCGACACAAGTTGAAATCGGTACAGGAATTAATTTTTACACTACCTTAGAAATGTAATTAATTTTTACTTGGCTTTAGAAAATAAGCAAAGCTAATTTCTGTTAATCATATTAAGTAAAAATAGTTTATTATATTCCTTCTAACATGTATATCATTACTTTCACAAATTAACCACAGCAAAACAAATAGTATATATATTAGAAACGGTTAACGTTTCTAATTCTATGTCCCGTATTTTCGGCAAAACAAAATGTAGGGTTTTAGTACTTACAGGCTTTGCCTCCAAGTGCTTACGGTATAACTGCAGTTGAATTATTACAGCATACATTCTCACTGCGGTAGCAAAAGCTATTTCTGGGAGAGGCGTAAAAGTCTTACTCTTTTGTGTAAAGCACAAATACCCACATGTATCTGTTTAGACATGTAACTGACATGGGATATGGGTATAGTATTAAAATTTCTTAGGGTAGAAAGATTAATAAAACATGTCTTTGTGGCCCACAGCAGGTAAAAAATAGGTCACAAAATGCTGCCCTATAGAATTTAACCCTGTATCACTTTGTTTTAGGGCTGTTGAAGTGAGCTCACATTTCAAGATAATGTATGTCTAGATTATCATTAGACTATAATTCTTGGCCCTCTCTTCTGTTTTCTTTACCCTAAATTCAACTGTCTAGTAGACATCATGATTTGGATCTATGATTGGCAACTCAAATTAACTATGTGCAAAATATGAACTCACCACCTTTTCCCCACAAGCCTTCCTGTCCTTGGGTTTCCAGTTCTACGCCCTGAAATCCCAATTACTTTCAGTTTCTTGAGTCAGAAACTCAGAATCACTCTAGCTTTCTCCTCTTTCCTTATATCCCAGGTCTAACCTCTGACCGACCCCTAGAGATATTTTTTCTTGAATGTATCCATTTCTTCCCATCCTCATTGCCAAATTTACAAAAACACAAATACACATCAACAAACTTATCTGGTGGTTTCTTTATGCTACCTCCATACATATAGAAGTAACATATCTTGATCCTCTTCACCCTCCCATACCCTCTCCATTCCCCTCCCCCTCCCATCGAACCCACTCAGTAGTGTCCATTTTGCACTTAAGTCTCATTATTTTTTTGTTATTTTAGACCCAGATTACACATATATGCCAAAACATGTTATCTGGCTTTCCGAGTTTGGTTTATTTCACTCAATATGATGATCTCCAGTTCCATCCATTTCCCTGAAAATGGCATAGCTTCATTCTTCTTGATGGTGAATGACTCCAAACATACTGTATGCACAAAGGGAATTTTCACATGACCCTCCCCTTGTACTATTAATGATTTCTAAAGAAAATAAAGTTTTAAAAATGGTGGTGTGGGGAGGGTGAGGTGTGGACCAGATGGTAGAGTGTTTGCCTAGCAAGTGCGAAGCCTTGAGTTCAAACCCCAGAACCATCAAAAAATTTTTTTAAAAACATGAAACAATAAACAAAAAACAAAAAAGAAATGTTTTTCCTTGATTGCCCTTCAAACATCTTGCCTAACTGGGAAGAACTGGGGTTAGTTAGCACCATACCTCCAGGCAGCAGGGCACGTTTCTACATTCACAGAAACGATTACTCTGACATTCACTGGCAGGGGATCAATCAGCCACTTCATATGTTTTTCAACTTGCTTAAAAATACAAAAGTAAAAGTTCACCTGTTAAATCAAAATATCTCAAAGCAACCCAATAATAACTCCCCCGGTTAAGTTAAATTCTCATTAATTTCCCCTTATTATTAAGGATAAAAAAATCTTACTTTTGGCTGATTTATCTTAGAATTTTAAAAGAACAAGTGACAAGACACTATTATCATCAATTTGAGTTCTGATCACTAAAGGAAATACCAAGGCCCTAATAACAAGTTAAAACAAATACTCTTTTCTAGATATGTAAATTCAATTGGTTTTTCTATTTACTTGCATATAGTACATTTTTGTTTATCCACATTCTTCCTCCCTAGAAATTAGGCAGAAAGTAAAGAAACATCATCATTTTCTTCTATCAGCATATACTTTAAATGCCTGCTGTAGCCATTACTGATATTTTGTCTTTTTCAGAGTCTGCTAATAGATAGTAAAGTGAAAACAGTACCTGAACTTGATCGATAGAGTCGATAACGATGATGATGCTGCCCTGATGACGAGCAGAGAGTTTCTCTAGCCAGCGTGGAAATTCTTCCAGAAGTTTAGCTGGATCAAGCGTCAGTGCAGATACTGCCCAGAAGTGCTGCATCAGCTGCAAGGTGACCCCAAGCACAAGGGAAAGCGGTTGGCAGTCTGTTGCAGCTGGGAAATCTTTCTACCCAGCTTTCCAAACCAAAATTGACTCCCCAAGGGGACCTACTGGTATTTAGCACTATTTTTAACCTTATACAAAATTAAAATAAGTGGCTGTGAGCCGAGTATCCCTTATTCAAAATGCATGGCATCAGAAGTGTTTCAGATTTCAGATTTTTTTGGATTTCAGATTTTGGAATATTTGATATGCATCATAAGTATCTTGGAAATGGGACCCAAGTCCAAACAAAAAATTCATTTATGTTTCATACACCTTCTATACACAACCTGAAGGCAATTTTATACCTTTCAATGTGTGCTTGCATTTTGACTGTGATCTGTCACATGAGGTCAGGTGTGGAATTTCTCACTTGTGGTGTCATGTTGGCTCTCAGAGACTTTCAGGTGTTTGAAAATTTCTGATTTCAGATTAGGGATGTTCTACCTATAATACTGAAGATCTGTTTATATTATCTACGTAGTCCCAACAATTTCTGGATCGAAATTGAATTCTGATAACTCCAAAAGACTGCACACCATACCTTTAGAGTCAGTCGCTTAATTATCAAGGAGGACTCGGAGCTGGCTGACATGGGTCTCCCCACAAAATGGGAAAGAATCAGCGCGTTAGGGGAATTCTTCTGCTGCAATTGAATCCTGAAGGAAAAACACAGCTTTACCAGACTGACAAAGCTCCTCAACTTTCAGCAACAACAAAAAGATTCTGCAATGAACTAGACACTAAATGCTGCCTAACTGCCAGCAATCACGTGGTTAGTCCCTTTGTAACAGACATGCAGATTTCTGAGTTTACTCTGTTGTTAGAATCTTTCAAACAAAGTAAAAAAATTATAGATTAATTTCAATTGCAGACTGAAGTTAATTGGAGGTTTAAGTGTTAGTAAAATAAGCATTTGCTTTTTAATTAAAATATGCTATTAAAGGGAAATCTGTTAGATACAAAGATACTATTTTCCAAACACAACATTAAATGGAAGTGGAATAAACAATTACACATAACTCTGCAATGTAAATAACTAGGAATGAAAGAAAATACCCAGTTTTTAAATATAATGAAACTTGAAAGCTTGTTAGCATCTTTTTTTTTTTTAATTTTTGAGACAAGATCTCACTACACAGCTCAGATTTGCTTAGAACTTGAGATTCTTTTGCCTCTGCCTCCCAAGTGCTGGGATTATGGTGTGTACCACCACATCTGGCTTTAAGTTTACATGAACTGTTCAGAGTAATTTTGATGTTCCTCAGGGTTTATTTTACTCTGAATAGTATGTTTGTCTTGTTTTAAATATTTAAACTCCCAATAAAAATTTTAAGACAAAGCCAATAACTGAAAGCAAAGTTACCTCCTTCTATAATCCACGACTGCAAGTCACATTGACCACCCCCTCACATAGCACTCCTGCATTTCCTACCTATGTAATTTACATACACAATCATGAATGCTCACACTTCTTACTCCTTCCCAATTATGCATCTTCTGTCTGACACCCAAATCCCATGCTCTTCAGGGCATGAACCTATCATTTTCCTCCTCTGTGCTTTTTAATGTTCAGAACAGGCCACACAGGAAGGCAGGCTAGTGATATATTCTGTCCAGGGATTGCAAGTGACGAGATTGCACTGCACCATACCACTTTGATAAAAGAAGGGACTTTCCAGAGCCAGGTCCTCCAGACACCAGAAGGGGTGGAATCGGGGCTGGTGCCACCACCAGATCATTAAGGCGTCGGTAATACTAGGAACAAAAATGAATTCACGCTGTGAGAAAGCTCAAGACTATGAGAATACTAAAGAGAGTCAGATTCTGATTTTCCTCCATAAACAGGAGAGAAAAGTTGCATGAGAAAATGGAACTCCACTGCTCACCAACAATGCCTTTTTATGGCTGGTGAAATACATTTGACGTAGTAAACCTAGAATGCAACAGTTCTCCCATAATTCTGCTGTCAATTAATGAGTGAGGGACAACACAGGACCCTGTGGGGGTTTGAAACATGTAAATGTTTTGCAGAGTGCTAAAGTGAGGTTATGATGTCATGCTGGGGTCCCTAAGCCATGGGAAGTACCCAGGAAGGCCTTGAGGGTCTCACCAGGCATTCTAGATCTACTCATCAGAAGAACTGATGCTGATTCCAGGAATTGCTGGAATTAAGCCCAAATAAGAGCTGGGCCCTGCCAGGCTCCCAGCCTGCCCCACAGGATAAGGTGCAGATGGGCTGCCTATCTTTATGCAAGTTCAACAGCACATGTTTCCCAAGCTTTCCTCAGACATTCAAAACCAGGTACAGAGGCCAGGCACAGAATCTCATACCAATAGTCTCAGCTACTCAGAGGTGGATATTTGGAGAGCTGTGGTTCAAGGTCAGCCCAGGCAAAAAGTCAGCAAGGTCCCATCTCTACCAATAAACTGGTGTGATGATGCATGCCTGTGATCCCAGCTACCTGACAGACAGAGGTGGACTCATGGTCTGAGGTTGGCCCTAGGCAAAAATGCGAGGCCTTCTCTGAAAAATAACTAAAAGCTAAAAGGGCTGGGGGTGTGGCTTGAGTGCCAGAGTGTCTGCTGAGAAGTGCAAGGCTCTGAGTTCAAACCCTAGTGCTGACAAAATAAATAAATAAATAAAACTGGTTCAGAGCAGAAAGGATATACTCACAAAATCAAAATATGATAGTACTTATTAAAGAGTTTCCAAAGTTATCTTGGGGTTGTGGATACTTATTAAGTGTACCAATGATCTAAATGATAGCAAATAAAGAACTTTTTAAAAATTGTAGTAAGTGGTTCATAGCTAGCTTTCAACTAGCTTTAGGGTAGTAAAATTCTCCAGCAACTACAAGAAATGATTTGGTAAAGTTTTTCAATCAACTTCTCTGCTTATAATATTCAGATACAGAATAAACTACCCAGAAACTCAAATAATTCTGATAGCAATGACATCTGTGAAGAAAAATGAAGGATTTCATTGATTTATTACTACATGAACTAAGGTTTATGGTCCCACAGAAAGTTAATTTTTAGATCCATAGTTCCCAAGTTAACACCCCTTGCTACAGAAGAGAAAGAAGAGGATCTGGAGCCAGAAGACCCAGGTTCAAATCCCAGATCTACAATCCATAATCCATTCCCCATAGCCTCTCAGCAAACCATAACTGGGACCTTTCAGTTTCTTTTTGTTGTTTCTTTTCTTTTATTATTTTTTTTGTGTGTGGTACTTGGGGTTGAACTCAGGGCCTTGTGCCTGTTAGCAAGTGACAGAACGCCTGCCACTTGAGCCACACTGTCAGCCCCTTTTCCTCTGTTTACTTTGAGACAGGTTCTTGCATTTACACCCAGGCCAGCCTGGATCACTATCCTATTTATACTTCCTGCATAAATGGGATGACAGTCACATGCCACCACACCCAGCTTTCATTGGTTGAGATGGGGACTTAAGAACTTTTTGCCTGAGCTGGCCTCAAATCACAATCCCCCATATCCCTGCCTCCCAAGTAGCTAGGATTATAGGCATGAGCCACTATTTCTGCCCTCAGTTTCTTTCTTTATAAATAACAACAGCAATACCTCTTTTATAAAGTAACTACTAATTTAATATTTATCTTGTGCTCAGTACTGTGCTCAGTGCATTATCTGGCTTAATCCTTGCAACAACCCTACAAGGTAGGTACTCTTAGTTATTCTCACTCTATAGATGAGGAAGTCAACTTAGAGAGGCCAAGTGATTTGATTAAAATCCAGTTAGGAGATAATGGAACCAGGACATAAACACAGCGTGAACCATAAACGTTCTATAAAAATACAACTGTTAATGTTAGCTTCTGAATAGTCTTCGAAATACTAGTTCTTGTATTAATTTTTAATACCATTAAGTTTTTTGGTACTCAGACATACCTCCTGGTACATCAGGTTCTGTTCATTTGTTTAGATACTGAGAGATGCTGGTTACAGATTAGTAAAGGAGGACAGATCTGCCTGCTGCATGTACTACTACACTCTATTTTCTCAATGCCTGACATTTTTATTCCTGTTAAGAATTTTGAAGAATGGGCAGCCTTACCAGTCATCTCCATTTTCCTAGCTATTCCAGTCCTACTCTGGGTGAGCGGTAGATGGTGGCATCATGAATATGTGTTGATAAATCTAATCCATAGTGACAAATGCTTGGTGCTTGTGAGCACATCTGAATGTCACATATCTTTCATATGACACAAACTTAAGCACATCTCAACATGGACGACTAAACAGTGAGCACAAACAACTAACACAGTCATAAACCTTGAATAGACTTGGATGAAAACCAGTCATGATATAACCATTAAGTGAGGACTAATCTTTGTCAGAACAGTCCGAAAGCTTACTTTCTCAAATCCCAACTCCTGGGCTGAGTTAGAGGCCTGCTGAAAGGTTTCCATTTGCTCTTGTTCATCATGTATGTCCCACAGAACATCCCCAAAATCATCTTCCTCTGGAATGGAATCCTCACTGCCCAAATCCTTAGTCTCCAGGTCTGCATTTTCAAAGCCCAATATGTCCTAAATACAAACACAAGAAAATAATTAAGAATGAAAACTTTGTAGCAGAGGTTAGCAGGCCCAAAGTGGGCTTCACCTACTGAGGAGAGCAAGTCTGAATCTACACCTGCATTATACCTACATTATACAATCTATATTATACAAATACCTATAAGAATTCATAATTATAAAAATAGATACTAATTTTAAAATGAAGAAACAGAAAAATATTAAAGTAATAAAAACAAAGACCTCTTTTATTAAAAAAGAATAAAGTTAGAGGGTATTTGACTGTGATGGGATTTGTTTTCTGAAAAATGCCATGACATCTGTGCTTATATCTGGCTATTGAATAATTTCAAAAGTTTCCCTGATGCCTAAGAGATATGCCATAAAAATTTAATCACTGAGATGTTATCAAATATCTCTGCTGTCCTATCTAGTCTTCTATATTAGATCACTGAAAATAGCTTGTCCTTCAAGCACTGAAGATGCCAAAGGTGGCCAGTTTCATTTTGACTGATCAATTTTGCTCAATTCATTTCATTTATCTTGGCCCTAAAACATATGTAAGATTGTTTAAAAAAAAAAAAAGGGTCAAAATTGACAATGACATCTTTTACAATAGAAATACTATACAAAACATGTTGCCAGATAACATATCATTATGGTTTGGAGTCACTCTTTTTCCTCATACAATTAATTTTCATATCTGTAATGCAAGTTCATTTGAAAAGGTAATCTAATCCCCTCCTTCTCAAATAGAGCACGTGGTTCCATGGGGTAGGTGTTGGGAGGGATGGGCCACCATGGGCTACACATGGTACATCTTTCTGTTGGGTTCATTTTACTTGAAGATGGGGGGGTTATTTTTCTTTTGATTATATTTATTGGTGTTTTTGATGATGTACAATAGTGACAATGATTTTTATATTAAAATAAGCACAGCATAACATCAAGCAGAATATATATCACATATAAATTTCTAAGATAATACAGTAGACCCTGGGTATCCATGGGTATACAGTTCCAAGAAGACCACTGTTGAGAAAAAGCAAACATGCTCAGGCTGCATAGAGCTGAGTACTGTACTGTGGATTCTTGATTCATTCTTTCCACAATGCCATTCAACTTCCACTAAAGACATGCCACTGTGGGGAACAGAATATGAGACGCCTATGAGAAGTGACTTAAGCACAGCTGTACTCACTGTTCTGCAGGCTGAGCTTGGCACAGCCCCAGCCACAGAATAGGGTGAGACTAAGATGCAGAGCAGCTGCTTTTCCTAAGATGTTTATGTCAAATAATCTGCAGGCTGAAATTTGGCACAGCCCCAGCCACAGAAGAGAGCAAAGAAGGAGAGATGCAGTTCAGCTACTTTTCCTTAAGTTGTTTAGAAGCAGGAAAACAGGTTCCTCAATGTCACGCCCCTCCCCAAGAACTGTTGCTCCACCTCCTTGTTTACCACCAGATATAAAGACTTGCTGAAGGAGGTCACGAGGCTTTCTGATGGGGGATTTTGGTTGAATGATGCTGACACTGACGCTGGCTGCTGTGTCTCCACCAGAGCTGCTTTCTGCACCAAGAACTTTATACAGAGGCTTTAGAAAAGCTAAGCTAAAGAAAAGCTAAAGAGAACATGGGACAGTGCAAGTCTAAGGACTGAGACTTATGAGGTATGCTAATGCAGTTTTTAGACGTGGCTGCTGTGGTTTGTCTGCAAGTCTGAGCACTGTGACTTTAAAGAGAAAACATGGGACAGTGCAAGTCTGGCCAAACAATGTAAGTCTAAGGGCAAAGACTCTAACAGAGATTATGCTAAAGAAAACATGGGACAGTGTGAGTCTAAGGAAAGAGACTTTAAAGAATAGAAAAGAAGCAAGGTTTTAAAGAAAGACTTTAGAAGCAAGGTTTTAAAAAACTGTAAAGGAGTAAGGCCTTAAAGAATAAAGATAGAGAAAAGAAGCAGAGTAAAGAAGAGTTATTAGAGAAAAGAAGCAATGAGGCTGTTGTGCATCTCCATCCAAGTGCCCAGCATACCTGGCCCCAGCTTTGTCTTCTATCGTTTGTCCTTTGTGCATCTCCCATCTACCCTAGTTAGGCCCAGTTAGGTTCAGTAGTAACAGGAGTGAGAGAAAGCTCACTCTATGCCATCTTTTGGCAAATCTCAAATTTTCACTTCAATTAAGCACATTAATTTTTACCTTGCTTTTTGGACACCATTTGCTTTTTGGGAGGCAGATTTGCACAAAATGAAGGGCAGGGAAACACTCAGCATATCACACAATGATTTAAACACAGCAGCTGATAAGGCAGGACTGACTGAAAGCTTCTCTGCATCAACTGAGCTGTGTAATGCAAGCACTAACACTTAACATTTTACTTTTTGAAATTGCTTTTGATTTTTTATTTATTATTTTGGATTATAAAACTTTGTGCTTCATTATTGTGTAGGACATTTTACACTTAACAGGTATTGAAAGATCAACCAGTTCTGTGAAACAGATAAGCAGTAAACACATGTGGTTCTAGAAATACCATGATCACATCACAGGGAAGACTCCCAACAGAAGCAATGCCATTTCCTCAGGTGCTGTTCTCAAAGAACGAACAGGTAGCTTTCTCTGAAAAATTCAACTTTATGGAAAACAGTCTGAAAATATTTTAGAAGAGATCTCACAAAGTATGCATATGCACCTGTTTAATGACCTTTTCCACACAAATGTAAGTTTTATATACTCCCTCTGCAGGATCTCCTGAGTGATCAATGATCTAGAAAAAAAAAAAAAAAAGGAGAGAGAGAATTTAAAACAATAACAAAAAAACCCCCACAGAAACAGCAGCAGGAGGAGGAGGTGGTAAACACTTTTAGAGTGAGCATGTGTCTGGAACTATTCTAAGCAAATATAGTCACAAGGAAGATATTATTATTACCCCCACTTTCCAAGAGGGAAGTAAGCACGTAACTTGTCTGAAGTCACATAAAAAACTCAGTGTGAGTAATGGCACAATAAAAGGAAAGTATACATTTCTACCTGACCTTATTGTGCCTCCCACCACCACCCTGTTCTGAGCCTCCAGCATCTCTCACCTGGTTGGCTGCAACAGCTCTCAGACTCCGCCTACTGCCCTCACTATTCTCCACTCAGCAGCCAAAGAGAGCACAGCCTGTTATTCTTCAGCTTAAAGTCTTCCAGCGGCTCCCACCTCACTCCAACGGAAAAATCCAAGGTCCTTAAAAAGATCCCTGAGGTTGTTCTGGATCAATCTGGGTCACCTCTCCTGCTTCTCCCAGTAGTCTGGCTTCCTTTCCCTCCCCAAGCACACCAGGCCCATGACCACCTCTTGACTTTTCTGTTTTTCCCTTTGCCAAGGAGGTTCTTTCAAAACTCCGGTGAATTTTTACCTTGGCTTTGCTGGTCTTGTTTAGATTAGAAACTTGATCGATCAACTGCTGGACAGAGTTGGAACTGACTTTCCCATCCTCCAAACGATGGTAAATCAACCGCGGTTTTCCTTCAGAGTTTTTCAGAAAAGCTTCTTCACAGTCTTCCCATAAAAGGCTAGATTGGAAATCAGCATTTCTTGTGCTATACTGCACTATGGCAGCAAACGGTTAGTCAACCAACCCAAGCACCAATAAAGGGGTTTTACTACGGTGAGAGGTGGCTAGGAGAGGCCCAGGGAACCGCACATTGTTTTTTGGTGGGACAGGATTTGAACTCAGGGCCTCACACTTGCAAAGCAGGCATTCTGGTGCTTGAGCCACACTTCCAATCCATTTTGCTCTGGTTGTTTTGGAGATAGGGTCTCATAACTATTTGCCCAGGCTGGCCTCAAGCTGCTATCCTCCTGATCTCAGCCTCCCAAGTAGCTAAGATTACAGGCATGAGCCACTGGTACCCCGCGCCATAGTTAGTTTTTATTGGACTTCTGGAAAAATCTTAGAACTAATAATTTGGTGGGATTTTTTACACCATAGGAACATTGCAACCAATTTCCCCTTTCTAGGAAATGTTACATGAGAGTTGTACAGAGGCAAATTAGAGGTGTGTGCGTGTTCACGCAAGCATGTGCGTGCACGTGTGTGTGTGTAAGGAATAGTAATTACATGATTCAGAATTTGCAAATTAAAACACTAGCCCCAAAGATAAATGCCGATTACAGATTTCTGTGCCAATACAATCTACCAATCCACAAACATTTTCTACATTAAAATCATTCTGGCCAGGTTCTACAGAAACTTAGAATTTCAATGGTCCATTTCTTACTATTTTGGAGAAAATCTATGGGCCTTCTGTTCATACAGGTTTGTATTTCAAAACCACATGCTACAAAATTCACACTCAGGGCTCAGATGAACTGATGTGGTTCAAATACTCTGACGAAACAAACAGGTCATTAATGACTAGTTACTGAAGTCAGAGATGGCAGGCCAGCTGATGCACAGATAATCCACAGTTGGGAACCAGCTGGATGTGCAGGAAGAGCAGATGGAGATGCTGCTGCTGTGTGAGGCAGGAGGAGCTGAAAGAGTGAGACTGAAGAAGAGTGAGGTTCAACAGTAGAATCAGAGCTCTACTTAACGAAACCCTGCAAGGACACTGTACAGCTGATCTAGCAAAACCAAGAATGAGCACTGAAATGTCCTGAAAGATGATATAATTACCCTTTGGGTACTGAAGGCTTCCTAAGAGGGAGCTCTTCTCCTCCCTTGGGTCTTGGTTGCCCCTCTGTGCTTCCAAGACCCAGGGCTGCACTGAGAATTGAGCATTCTCAGGGGGCATGGCTGCCCAACACGCATCCTGATGTAATGAAACAGGGCCAATCAAGAGCAGAGAACACCTTCATCTGGACATTCCTACAGAGCCAGGCTCCCCTGGACTCTCTATGTCTCAGCTCTCACCCTTCATTGAAAGGTTCTCCTGTGAACCTATATTCAAATAAATTTGAAAATCTTAAAGAAATGGACAGATTTCTAGATACATATGATCATCCAAAACTGAACCAAGAGAATATTAATCACCTGAATAGATCTATAACACAAAATGAAATTGAGCAGCAATCAAGAGTCTCCCAAAAAGAAAAGTCCAGGACCTGATGGATTCTCTGCTGATTCTATCAGACCTTTAAAGAAGAACTGATACCAACCCTCTTAAAATGTTCCATGAAATAGAAAGGAAGGAAACTGCCAAAACATTTATGAAGCCAGTATTACACTTATCCCAAAACCAGGCAAAGACACCTCCAAAAAGGAGAAGTATAGCCAATCTCCTTAATGAACATTGATGCAAAAATCCTCAAAAATAATGGCAAACCGAATTCAACAAACATCAAAAAGATTATTCACGACAAGTAGGCTTCATCCCAGGAATGCAGGGGTGTTCAACATACGAAAATCAATAACATAATAAACCACATTAACAGAAGCAAAGACAAAAACCACTTGATCATCTCAATAGATGCAGAAAAAGCCTTTGATAAGATCCAACACATTTCATGATAAAAGCTCTAAGAAAACTAGGAATAGAAGGAAAGTACTCAACATTATAAAGCTATATATGACAAACCTACAGCCAGCATTATACTTAACGAGAAAAACTGAAACCATTTCTAAAATCAGGAACCAGACAAGGATGCCCACTATCTCCACTCCTATTCAACATAGTACTGGAATTCCTAGCCAGAGCAATTAGGCAAGAAGAAGGAATAAAGGAATACAAATAGGTAAAGAAACTGTCAAAATATCCCTATTTGCAGACGACATGATCCTATACCTTAAAGACCCAAAAAACTCTACTCAGAAGCTTCTAGACATCATCAATAGCTATAGCAAGGTAGCAGGATATAAAATCAACATAGAAAATCATTAGCATTTCTATACACTAATAATGAACAAACTGAAAAAGAATGTATGAAAACATTCCATTTACAATAGCCTCAAAAAAAATCAAACCTAGGTGTAAACCTAACAAAAGATGTGAAAGACCTCTACAAGGAAAACTATCACTTCTGAAGAAAGAGATTGAGGAAGACTATAGAAAGTGGAGAGATCTCCCATGCTCATGGATTGGTAGAATCAACATAGTAAAAATGTCATACTCCCAAAAGTAATCTACATGTTTAATGCAATTCCCATCAAAATTCCAATGACATTCATTAAAGAGATTGAAAAATCTACCGTTAAATTTATATGGAAACAAGAGGCCACGAATAGCCAAGGCAATACTCAGTCAAAAGAACAATGCAGGAGGTATCACAATACCTGACTTCAAACTATATTACAAAGCAATAACAATAAAAACAGCATGGTACTGGCACAAAAACAGACATGAAGACCAGTGGAACAGAATAGAGGACCAGATATGAAGCCACACAACTATAACCAACTTGTCTTTGACAAAGGAGCTAAAAATATACGATGGAGAAAAGCAGCCTCTTCAACAAAAACTGCTGGGAAAACTGGTTAGCAGTCTGCAAAAAACTGAAACTAGATCCATGTATATCACCCTATACCAAGATTAACTCAAAATGGATCAAGGATCTTAATATCAGACCCAAACTCTAAAGTTGATACAGGAAAGAGTAGGAAATACTCTGGAGTTAGTAGGTATAGGTAAGAACTTTCTCAATGAAACCCCAGCAGCACAGCAACTAAGAGATAGCATAGATAAATGGGACCTCATAAAACTAAAAAGCTTCTGTTCATCAAAAGAAATGGTCTCTAAACTGAAGAGAACACCCACAGAGTGGGAGAAAATATTTGCCAGCTATACATCAGACAAAGGACTGATAACCAGAATATAGGGAACTTAAAAAACTAAATTCTCCCAAAACTAATGAACCAATAAAGAAATGGGCAAGTGAACTAAACAGAACTTTCTCAAAAGAAGAAATTCAAATGGCCAAAACACATGAAAAATGCTCACCATCTCTAGCAATAAAGGAAATGCAAATTAAAACACACTAAGATTCCACCTCACCCCTGTTAGAATAGCCATCATCAGCAACACCACCAACAACAGGTGTTTGCGAGGATGCGGGGAAAAAGGAACCCTCTTACACTGTTGTGGGAATGTAAACTAGTACAACCACTCTGGAAAAAAATTGGAGGCTACTTAAAAAGCTGACATTGATCTACCATTTGATCCAGCAATACCACTCTTGGGGATATACCCAAAAGATGTGACACTGGTTACTCCAGAGGCACCTGCACACCCATGTTATTGCGGCAGCATATTCACAATAGCCAAGTTATGGAAACAGCCAAGATGCCCCACCACTGACGAATGGATTAAGAAAATGTGGTATCTATACACAATGGAATTTTATGCAGCCATGAAGAAGAACGAAATGTTATCATTCGCTGGTAATGGATGGAATTGGAGAACATCATTCTGAGTGAGGTTAGCCTGGCCCAAAAGACCAAAAATCTATGTTCTCCCTCATATGTGGACATTAGATCAAGGGCAAACAACAAGGGGATTGGACTTGAGCACATGATAAAAGCGAGAGCACACAAGGGAGGGTGAGGATAGGTAAGACACCTAAAAAACTAGCTAGCATTTGTTGCCCTTAACGCAGAGAAACTAAAGCAGATACCTTAAAAGCAACTGAGGCCAATAGGAAAAGGGGACCAGGAACTAGAGAAAAGGTAGATCAAAAAGAATTTAACCTAGAAGGTAACACACACGCACAGGAAATCATGTGAGTCAATGCCCTGTATAGCTATCCTTATCTCAACCAGCAAAAACCCTTGTTCCTTCTATTATTGCTTATACTCTCTCTACAACAAAATTAGAGTAAGGGCAAATAGTTTCTGCTAGGTATCGAGGGGGTGGGGGGGAGAGGGAGGGGGTGGAGTGGGTGGTAAGGGAGGGGGTGGGGACAGGGGGAGAAATGACCCAAGCATTGTATATGCATATGAATAATAAAACAATAAAAATTACACAAAAAAAAGAAAGGTTCTCCTGTGATTCTGCCATGAAGGGAAGTGGGTTAAATTAAATACATCAAAGAAAAACACTTGGACAAGCAGTGTCAAGAGTCTGACCATCTCCTTTCTATGCACCTTCTCTGATGAACGAGAATGGAGAGGCATGGTGCCTGTGCTCCTCACGCAGCGTGACCTGCCACCTGCTTCCTCCTCCTTCAGCTAAGCAGGTTGTTAGCATACTTTGCTCTAAACCCAATTATTTCATACCATAAATATTTACCTATAGAATTTCTCATGTGAGAACTGAATGACGTGAGAAGCCAGTGAACAGTATCTGTAAGAACTCTGTGGGTTCCATCTGCACACAAGGAATAATTACCGACTGCGAAAAAGGGTTTCCCCACGTAGCTCCCAAGCTGTTTAGGGGCAATTTTTCTACGTTCATCTTTTGGGAAGGATGAGAGAGTCATCAGAAGAGATAAAGGAGCAACCTGCGAGAAATTAAAAAGTCCTCAAACCAACAACCTGTTTGTTGAAACTCATCCCTACTGTCACGTGTGTGTGTGTGTGTGTGTGTGTGTGTTAGTTATGTTGTGTGTGTCAATGTGTGTTGTGTTATGTGTGTTATGTATGTGTTATGTGTGTTGTATATGTCTGGGTGGTATATGTAGTGTATGGTGCATACGAGTTTTGTGGGGGGGGTGGTGTGTTGTGTGTTGCATTGTATGTGCAGTGTGCATTGTGTGTATGGTTGTATGTGGTATGTGTTGTGTTGTGAGTGCTGTGTATGTGTTGTGTGTATTGTGCTGTGTGTGGTGTGTTGTGTGTTGTGTTGTGTGTGTTGTGAATGTTAGTGTTGTGTGTTATGTTGTGTGTGCGTTGGGTGTGCAGTGTGTTGTGTGTACTGTATGTGTGTGTGGTGTGTTGGGTGTGTTGTGGTGTGTTGTGTATGGTGTGTGTGTGGTGTGTTTGGTGTTGTGTGTAATGTGTTATGTTGTATGTGTTGTGTATTGTGTGTGGTGTGTTATGTGTATTGTGTGCTGAGTGTGTTGTGTTTGGTGTGTGTGGTGTGTTTAGCATGTGTTTTGTGTGATGTGTTGTATGTGTGGTGTGTTGGGTGTGGTGTGTGTGTGGTGTGTTTGGCGTGTATTGTGTGTATGTGGTGTGTTTGGTGTTGTGTGTGATATGTTGTTATGTGTTGTGTGTTTGGTGTATGTGTATTTGGAGTGTGTTGTATATGGTGTGTACTGTTTGTGTGGTGTGTTTGGTGTGTGTTGTTATGTGTACTGTGTGTTGTGCTGTGAATGTTGTGTGTGTTGTGTTGTGTGTATTGTGTATGTGGTGTGTCTGGTGTTGTGCTGTATTGTGTGTGTGTGGTATATTTGGTGTTGTGTGTGTGGTGTGTGGTGTGTGTATGTGGTGTGTTTGGTGTTTGTGGTATGTTTGGTGTTGTGTGTTGTGTGTGTATTGTGTGCATGGTGTGTTGTGTGTGTTGCATTGTGAGTGTTGTGTGTGGTGTAGTTTGTGTGCTGTATGTGTTGTGTGTGTTGCACGTGTTGTGTGTTGTATGTTGTGTGTGTGGTGTGTTGTGTGTGTTGCATTGCGAGCATTGTGTGTTGTGAGTGTTGTGTGTGGTGTTATGTGTATTGTGTTGTGTGTGTGGTGTGTGTTGTGTTGTGAGTGTTGTGTGGGTGTGGTGCAGGATTGGAACCCAGGGCCTCAGGCACACCAGGAAAGTGCTCTCCCATGCACTTTACTCCCAGCCCCTGCTGCAGTGAAAGAAGCAAATGATGAAAATGCAAACACAAGTTAGAAAAATTAAAGCAAAATAAAGGCAAAGCAGAGGCTGAAACTAAATTTAAGAAATTATAATTCTTACTCTTTGAAGAGTAACTCTTAAAATATAAAATGAATAAAATTTTAGTCAGACAATAATTCTGCAAGCAGAAGTAATAGAGCCTGAAACAAATGGGAGGGAAATGGAAAGATAAAAATACATGTTGAGTGTAAAATAATGTGTGATGTTTCATTAACATTCTTCCCCTATGGCAAAGGAAAGAACGAGATGGTTTCAAAGACTGAAAACAAGCATTAAACTAAAATAAGCTGGAGGTGGTGGTGCATGCCTGTAATTACAGCACTCAGGAGGCCGAGGCAGGAGGATTCCAAGTTTGAGGCCAGCCTGGGCTGCATAGCAAGATCCTGTCCCTCCTCACCCACCCCCCAAAAAAATCAAAGAAAAATAATGTAATAACAAATGACATGTTTCCAAGTAAAATCCTACCCAAATATTAGTAAAACAAATGAAACAAAATATAGTCTTTTTTTTCCAGCACTGGGGATTGAACTCAGGCCTCATGATTGCTCAGGTGCTCTACTGCTTGAACCATGGCCCCAGTCCTTTTGTTTTTGTTTTTCAAATAGGGCCTCACACCAACTTTGCCTGAGATGGCCTCAGACCAAGATCCCCATCCTGCTTCCTGAGTATTGGGATTACAGGGATGCACCACCAGGCCTAGCTAAGGATATATCATAAATATAAAAACATGGTAAGAAAGGGGAAGGGTTGATAGAAGGGAAACCCAGCTGAAGGCAATCAAGTTGAAGGATTCCCTAAGCGTACTCTGGGGCAGGCTCAGTGACCGCTGGTTCCTGCCCACCTGGCCAGCAGGCAGTCTCAAGGAAAAACGACAGGCTGCACTACAGATGAACTGGCAAAACATGAGGCCCCACCAGCTTCTGCACACAAAGTCAGAGCTGGTCCACAAAAGAGAAATGCTTTGGAAGCATTAAATCCAATCAGACTACAAATCAAGGAACAAAGGCCTACTCTGCCTTTTAGTTATGTACCTCATTGCAGACAAGATTCAGTAGATGATAACAATCACATTACAAGAAGAAATGTTTGCTTTACTGTTTATTTAGGTAGTGAGTTTCTCACAGCAGGTAGTATCGAAAGCAAGAAACCAGGAGTCACTAACTTTTTCTGAAAAAGGCCAGAGAGCAAACATTTCAGCTTTGAAGACATACGTTTTTGTGTATCTAGTCAGCTTTGTTGTTAGCAGCCACAGATAATACATGAATCAATTAATGTGGCCTGACTCCAATAAAACTTTATTTATAAAAGCAGATACCTGGTGGGATTTGGCCTGGGTCAGAATTTGTCAAGCCCTAATTAAAATGATCTTGACATTTAATGTTGCTGATCATATGATTTATTAAACAAGTGTTAGTAGTCTAAAACTTAATTTATTTTACTTATAGAATCTGTTGACTTTTGCATATCATTTTTGATTATAAGAATGCGATTAGAACTTATCTTTGAAGTTCATGTGACAATCTTGATTCTATTTGCAGATAATGCTTATCGTAAATTCCAGAATTTTCCAGCTCACCTTGGTAAAGTTGAATGGATGAATAAAATTACTAAAGAGCTCTTTTCAATCTCCCATTTTCTTATGGTGAGGTTTTGATTTTCAACATCTATTGGGAAATAAACAGCGTGGAAAAAATATCCCATTGTCTCACACATCCTTTTAAGTTTAGGTGAACACTCCTGAAAATAAATTGAAATATGTAAAAGCATAATAAACTAGCAACATAGCAAGATCCATACTACTTAAGAAAGCTTGCTTTAGAACGGGTTACGTTGGGTATTTTCCAATATAACAGCTTAAAATAATAACAAATCACATTTTAAAGAAAACCTTAAAAAAGCAAATTTCTCTCTAAAACCAAAATACTAATAACTTAAAAATGCGGCTATTTTCTACGGCAGAAAATGATTTGTTTCATGATCATAACAACAGGAGAAAATACTAGACTATCTTATTTTGGTATTTGCTTCTTTTTGTTATTTCATCACAAACAGTTTCTGTTTTATTATTCTAAAGAATGCAAAACACAGATCCATCGCTCTATATAGTACAAAGCTTTCACTATGAGACATTTAACACCAAAGCAGACAGATCTATGTTAAAAATATGATGGCTGACAATAAATTAAATTCCTAAGTAATGATAATTATTATGCAAGAAATTATCTAACACCCTCAAAATGTCTGGGAATACCTGTCTTCAATTGATGGAGGGAAGCTTTAAGCTTTATTTTCATATTTTATCTTTGTGTCAAAATTGGGTAATATCACAAGGATATTACCCAGTTAATAACTTATTAAACAATCTGTCATATATTATTACAGCAGGTTTAGTCCAGGACATGCAGATTTATACTTCCAAGAGTGGTAGGCAAACTTTTTCAATAATGGAACAGATGGCAAGTATTTTTTTTTAACAAAAATAATCATAGCTGACAACTTGGATGGTTTTAGCAGGGACCTTTGCTGTCTATTTGGTTTATGTCACAACTTACTCTGCCTTTGAAATGCCCTTGTAGTACAGCCACAAGTTATATACAAGTGTGAGTGTGTGTGTGAGTGAGTGTATGTGTGTGTTTATATATATAAATGAGCCTGGTAATGTTCCATTGAAACTATTTACAGACATCAAAATTTGGATTTCATATAATTTTCACATCATGAAATATTATGTGTTTTTCCAATAATTCAAGATGTGAAAACCAATTTTAGCTCTGGACATATGAAAACAGATAGCAAGCCAGTTTTGGCCCACAGGCAACAGTGTGTTCACCTCTACCTTACAATAACTCCAAGAGCTGCCTTGAAAATTTCAAAACCATGACCAAGAGTAGATTTTGTTATTGTCTGAAATAGATTCAAGGCTGGAGGTGCCAGCTGTAACTAGAGTAGGCACGATCAGTGAAGGTCTAGCACATTGTTGGGCATGTACAATGAAGTATTTAAAAAACAATAAGGTTCTAACACCTTGCTTTGATATTCAAAAGTAATTACAGCTGTTAGAATCTTCTTTTTTAGTCTTAGCTCCTGTCCCAAGAAAGGTACTCTCAGAAAGTTAAATAAAAACAAAGAACCTTGATTCATCGTCTATCTTTCTGTGCATATATCGCAATAGTGAACTAAATTCTCTCTTAAGAAAATCCCAAGATGCTTCTTGTTCTTTAAGACACATAATCACTACTGGTAGCGAATTTCTTAGTTTAGATACAATAGTATCTAAATAGGATAGAATACTAACTTGTATTTTAAAGCAGGAATACAGAATTTCTAAATATCCTCACCTTAAGGAAAAGCTCCACTTCTGGCTGGGTTTCCTCTGTGTAAATGAGGTAACATCTGACAGCATTACTCCACAGAGAATGAGAAAACAGGGGAGTTACCTGTAACAAACTAGCTACAGCAATATCCCAGTCATCTGAAAATAAAATTTCCATGAGTTAGTGAAACAGTTACCAGAACACAGTTGACAAGGCGATTCAAACACGTGTGACACTCCTAGCACACAGAATGCAATCGGATCTCACATGTTAACACTGACACAGAAGGCAATAAATTTTCTAACCTTAAATGCTATCCTGAGACTTCAAGCGATGAGTGTCACTAGTGGCTTTCGCTGGAGTACCAATGGTTCCAGCTCTATTTTACATGAATTTTTCAGTTATTTTGCTACTTGAAGGGAACCTGAATTCCCAGGATGGCCTGTCATTTTCCCTTCTGATTCTTGAACTATAATGAAGCAAAAAGAAAGTTCAGAACTGGTATCAAGGGCTAGAGGTATGGTTCAAATGGTAGGGTGCCTACCTATCAAGTATGAGGCCCTGATTTCAACTCCAATACAACCCCAGCCCCACTCCCCCACCCCCCCACCCACCCGCCCCACCCCACCCCCCAGCCCCCCAACCCCCACCCACACCCCCCTCCGCCACCCCCTCCCCACACACCGCCCCCCCCCCCACCCCTCCACCCCCGCCCCCCCTCCCCCCACCCCCCCCTCACAACCCCCCCCCACCCCCAAAAGGAATTTAATGTTATCAAATGAAAAGTAGCTCTATACTATTTAGTGAGACTGAAAATTTTAACACATATTTGGCTAATTCAAAAGGTGCAATTTAAAAAATGATTTTCATTTTGCTAATACAGAAGTAATTTCATAGTTTTAAGAAGAGAGTAGCACAACTTGTAACTTCTTAGGTTTTTTTTTAAGCAGTACTAGGGTTTGAACTCAGGGTCTTCAGCTTCTGAGGCAGGTGCTCTACCACTTGCACCACTCCCAGCCTTCTGCACTGTTATTTTTAGACAGGCTCTCATGTTTATGCCTGGGCTGGCCTGGACTTCAATCCCCCTACTTATGGCTCCAGAGTAGCTGGGATGAGGGCATGCACCACCACATCCAGCTATTATTGTTTGAGATAGGTGCTCATGAGATTTTTGTTGGTCTGGCCTCAAACGGTGACCCTCCTGCTTTCAGTCTCCTTTGAGTAGCTAGGATTACAGGCATGAGCCCCCATGTGACCTAACCAGATTTTTTTTTTGTACTTTGCACCATCAAGGCCATCAGATAAGTACAGGGAAAGACTAACACCTACTATTTCTCAGTTAATCTACACCGACTGAAAATTCAACTAGATCCAGTTGGCCAGGCTGGCTGAAGCACCATGTGATTCCAATACAGATTATGTAACCTCAGCCCCCTTAGTTGGTCACAGCATCAGGGCAGAATGGTATGCCAATGGAAGGTGCCCAGAACACAAATGTCATGCTGTTAATGGCAGTTACTTTATTGTGAGATTACAGAACACGAACAGTCACTCCCACTTGGCAGGTAACTGGCAAGGGGCAGCAGGTGTTACCTCTGTTGATGTTCGCAAAGGGTCCTTCCACGTCTATGGAACTGTGGGCAAACTCGGGCCCTCTGACGGACTGCTGAAGCTGGATCATGCTCCCTATGGAAGGCTCACTTCCCAAGGCTCCACCAGCCCAGTACTCACACTGGGTTCCAGCAGCTGTGACAGCAAGGGATTGTCACCTTGTGAAACCAAGTAACTGAATGTTCAAAAACTCAGCACATTTACCAAGCAGGATTTCTAATTTTATAAATACTAAAACATTATAAATACAATAGATAGTCAAACAATGATTTTAAAAGTTCTTGACCACCAACTTTTGGCAAAGCTCTAAGCTGCTGGTTAACACAATTCTGGTTAACAAATTCAAAGAGGGAATTAAAAAGGTTTAGATTTTTTTTCAGTACTGAGGCTTGAACTCAGGACCTCACACTTACTAAGCAAATGCTCTACCACCTGAGCCTTGTTCACCCTTTAACAAGGGAAACAACAAAGCAATAATAAAATCAACAAAAGGATTATAATAAGAGGGCAATCAAAAAGCCCCATACAAAATTCTAAAAACCATTTCTTTTTTTTTTTTTCCTGGTCCCCTTCTCCTATTGGCCTCTGTCGCTTTAAAGTTTCTGCATTAGTTCCTTTGCATTGAGGACATCAAATGCTATCATGTTTTTTTGGGTTTCTTACCTATCCTCATACCTCCCTTGTGTGCTCTCACCTTATCATGTGACCAAAGTCCAGTCCCCTTCTAAAAACCATTTCTAACTATGTATCTTAAGTATCAATTAAAACCTGGAGGAAAGAACTTCACAGGTAGACAGTTGACAGCGCGCTAGTAATTGATACTTATAACTTATTAGGCTGTAACTCTCTCTACACAGGGATTACATCCTTCTTAACTTCCCAGCACACAATTAATGTCTATACAACAACTACTTATAAATGTGCAGGTGATTTTCCTAATAAGTCTTTTGGCCAGAACACGGCATTCTTGACTGCCTGTGAGTAAACTGCTGTTTTGGGCTCACTCTCTGGCAAAACCGAGCTTACTATTTGTGGCTTTATTGAATCTCCAATGGGTGATATTCCCAAACATTCCTTCTTTAGGTTTAAATCAATATATGAAGAAGAAAGGCCTAAAAGAGATGTTGTTTTTCTTAACTTGTCAAGCCAATCACAATAGTTTGGAAGCAGTACACATTTGAATCTACAACACCAAAACAAATCACTATGACTAATCTGACAACACAGAGCTATTGTCTCAGTCCCTCTTGACCAATACGATCTATTTCATTTATTTCTCAAAAGTTAGTATAAAAACAAAAAAGACCAGGATGTTGGCCAGATCCAATGATACTAAATAAAAATTAAAAGGAATTGTCAGCTGACATATTTTACTCCAAGAATATAACTATGGTCCCTTATAAATAGAGTGACAGTATTTTTTCTCCTGCATTTAAAATAGAATCTTTTCCTTTTCTTCATTATTAGTCACACTTTACTATCACCTTCTTATAACATGGTGAATTCTTTCATCCTGTGATTTCAAGCTTCTTTATTGCAAGAAAATATATTTTCTCTTTAACTACAAAACAAAAACTTTTTGAATAGCTCACGAAACTATATTAGAAACCACTTAGTGAAATATAATGCAGGTATTCTACATAATAGTTGCAAAGAATACATCATTCTATGGAATAATGTTGCAAAGAATGATAATTCCAGTATCCATTATACCCTTTAGTGAAAGATCCAGACACTTTAGTTGGACACCATGTTTGCCTGGCTATTAACTATAGTTTCTAATCTTCTTAGATTTATTCTGGCCAATGGGATTGGAGCAGAAGTGATCTGTATGTCTTTCAGGTTTTGCCTTCAAGAAAAACAATGTGCTGTTCTCTTTCTTTATCCCCTTGGCTAAAATGGAGATGTGACAGAGACCCAGGAGTTCATAGACCAGAAAGAGAAAAGCTATGGGTTAAGGTTGTCACAGCAACCTGGTAGAAGGACCCTCAACCCCAAGTTCATGTACTTCAAGAAGAGGAGGTGTCCTTCCAGCTGAGAGAGAGAGAGAGAAAAAAGGAGGAAGAAAGGAAGAAAAAAGAAGGGAGAGGAGGGAAGGAGGGAAAGGGAGGAAGAAGGAGAGTAAGAAGAAGAAAAAAAAGAGAGAGAGACAGACTCTTTAACAGCAACCAAGCAAAAACCTAGCTAATACAGACAAAAGAAGGATAAGAGGAGTCAAAGTTGACTCTACATGTCACCTGAGCTATGGTGAAAGCTCAACATATCCTTAATACAAGTGTACACTTACCAGTAATATCTGCACAGTTGTCGTCTGAATCAGACTCCCCAGGGTCAAATATTTGGATCCCCTGAGCCTGCAGTCTCTGAAGTTTGCTCTCCAGTTCTCGCTTGGCTCTCAGTAAGTCCTGAATTTCATTTTCTTTGGTCTCCCTAAAAATCTTTGAAAAGGAGAATTTTAACTTTAAACTTTTTTTCCATAATCAAAATTCTGTGGCATTAGCTTTTCAGGGAAAAATCTTTCATTCAAAAAAAATTAATATGCATTTGGTCCTCCATCTCCTCTTTTGTTGACTTTTTTTTTTTTTTCTGACAGTACTGGGGTTTGAACTCAGGGCCTCACACTTGCTAGGCAGGCACTCTACTACTTGAGCCATTCCATCTCCTCTTTTGTAGGATAAAAATCCCAGGACCTTTACTTTATGGTCTCAAAACTGGAACCCACTGGAATCCCAGCAGGATGAATGTGTGTCTTGTAGGGCTGTCACGTGTACTATATGATGTTGAGCAAGTCTGCCTCCCTCACACCAAGTGCCAGCAATGTCTTCCCACACACAGCATCCCAAGTATTTCCAACTGCTCTACCCCATGTAGAAACACATTTTCGTCACCAAAATCTCTATTAAAATGTTCACTTTATATTTTTTCTTTGAAACTATCTCATCTACCATGTCCAACTCAAAAATGTAAAATGTGCTCCCCTCGAGCTCCTATAACCTTGAGTTCTACATGATTTGCTTCTATTGTGGTATATACAAAGTTCTCAAACATACTGCTTTTATTCTGTCAGTCTACAGGGTAGAAACAAATGGGTTTACCTTGAACTGCCTTTTAACCTTATCTCTGTCATGTTCAAATGTTGCAGCTCTCTCCATTGCTTGATATTTTGCTTCTAAGGCACTTTCTTTCTCCCGGAGTATCTTCTGGTAAGTTTTTTGAAGGGCCTGCAATAATTCATCTTGTTAGCTCTTAACAAAAGCAGTCTTTCTTCCAAATTTCACATTCTTATATATGTCACACATCTTAGCATTTTAATAATCTACTCACCATTTTACCAACTATCAAGGACAATGTGTTGTCATGTTATTCAAACGAATAATGGAAAAAAACCACACGATTGAGCTATAGCAAATAAAGACACTTCAATAGTAAGCTTTCAATGGAAATTAACACATTTCCCTTGAAATTTTCCATCAGCTCTTGAATTTCCCTGTGCCTGTGTTCTACCTCTAAGGGAATGAAAAATACAGTTTGTAAGGCTTTATTTGAAGGACAGTTAATTCTGGGAGTCCAGTGCTCCTTGGCACTATGTCATGCTCATCTTACTATCTCCTGACCTCTTCACAGTGCCTGACACACTGTGGGCCTCCAGCAGATATTTGACTGACTGAATGAAATAAATACGGAAGAGATTTTCCGTGTCTACATATGTGAGAAAGCAACCAAATGGGTTACACAAGGAATTAGGATTGCTAACTGGAGTAGCCTGAGATGGGTATTTGTCAACACTCCCCACACTGCTCTACCTGCTTTGGTCTTCTTTTCCACCTGTAATCTCACAGTGGTTTCCAGTGGCTTGTTCACATGAAATCAGATATCTGAACCGCACAAGATCATTTTATGTAGGCAAGTGCATTAAGGTAGTTTATAGGCCAACAGATAAACTGCAGTAAGTTATCTTCCCAGAAAACATGCTAGTTACACCACATCCAATGAAGAGGTTTCATGAAGAATGCTCAGACCAGAAGGAAAGAGGCTTCTTTCTCTTACAAAAATGAGCCTGAGGTGTTTATTTAATCCCTACTGTGATAAGCCCAGGAACTCTTGGGCTGCCAAAAAATCTCTCCCACAATAAAGAGATGAAACAATACAATTAGCATCAGAGGGGCCCCCAAGCCCCTAGCATAAAGCCTCATAATTCTGGTCTCGGCAACAGCAGCCTCTTGCCTTATACCCAATCTTAATGAATTAAAATGGATCTGCTACAATGGTGGACATGCACGAACTGCTCTAAGTACATGAACCAACTGGACTAAAGGAATTTGCATACATCCAGGGAAGGTTTTCAATCACAGCAGGTAAAGATGGTGAAAATCAAAAGGCTTCCAGAAAAATTCCTATCAAGATCATTAAAACTCAACAGCTGCGGTACTTCACAAAGAAGCTTAGCCATGTGCCCCGCCTGAAGGTTTGTAAAATTGGAGAAGATGGCAACACTCTTAGAGAGAGTTTGCTGAGTTCCTTCAACAGATGTCACCAAAGTCGCGCCTACTTCCCCAGTTCCCTGGGGACTGGCATTCGCGGCTTGAGGACGCCTCAAGCTAACTGCTTGAAGGTGTCTGACAAGGAATCACGTAGACTCGAAGAAAATAATGGTCCCTAAAAATGAGGCGCAGCTTCTGCCCAACTTTAAAATTACTTGCAGAGGGGTACACAAGAGGACGCACAAGGGACAGGCCAGGCGTTCAGGGTGCAGCCTCTTAGGGCAACCACGCAGCTGCGCGTTGCGGGCAGGCCGCCCGCCCTGGGCCTCAGTTTCCCTGGTGGCGTTACCTGCAGCTCGGCGCGCAGCCGCTTGTTCTCCGTGTCCAGCTTGGCCTCGCGGCGGCCCATGGACAACAACTCCTGGTTCTTGCTGACCCGGAAGATCTCGTACTCCTTCTTGAGCCGCTCGTACTCGGCCGCCGCGTACTCCAGCTCCGGCACCGACGAGCCCGTGGACTTGAAGCTGGCTCCCAGCAGCCCGCCGCCACCCGCCGCGCGGGTCATCGACCCGGGCCCGGCCCCCGCCGCCCCCGGCGCCCCCGCGGCCCCCGCGCCCCGGCGGAACGAGTTGCGCAGCAGGCGGGCCTTGGGCTTCACCTCTACCGGGATCTCGCAGGCCTCGCCGCCCCCCGCGCCGTACGTGTCCTCGATCACCTCCCCGCCGGCGGGGCTCACGAGCGACGAGGCCGTCCCCATGGCGCTAGTGGCCGCCGACTCCCCTGCTGGGTACCGGGACGGGGCGGGGCCGCGGGGCGGGGGCGGGGCAAGCGGAGCAGGGCCGGTCAGGGCAGCACGTTCCGAGAGCCGAGCAAGATGGACCGCGAGGGACAGCAAGAATGGAAAGGTTAGCATATTTAAATATATGCTAATTCTAAAATAAAATTAAAGAGGGACTGCCAGGGAGCGGCTGAATCATGGGGCCGGACGAGCGATGTGGGCGGGGCGAGAGGATGGGCGGAGCTAACGGGGCGGAGCGAATGGTGTGGGCGTGGCGAGTGTGGACGGGGCGGGCTAGCGGTGTGGGCGGGGCTTAAGGGGCGGAGCGAGGTGCCAGGCGGAGCTAGTGGGGAGGTGCAGGACGGGGCGAGCGGAGCAGCCTAGGTAGCAGAACCAGGGAGAAAGGAATTAGCAAGAAGGGATGGAGGTCGCGAGAACAGCAGGATGGGGCGGGGCGAGCCAGCTGCTCACCTGTGGCACCCAGGAGGGACAAGTGTGAGGTGGCAGGGGCTTCTCTCCGGTGCCTCTGCTGGAACCGAGGGTCCCTGGCAGGCGAGTGGCACAAGGAGCCCCGGACTGGCTCCCCGCTGCTCCATGTCCGGCTGCTGCCATTTCTGTCGTCCCTGACCTGGGGAAATCTGGAAATGTATGCAGTGACTTCTGTGTGCCTCTCAAGAGGTATCTCTCCACACGCATATAGATAGAATAACCAGGAAGGCAATGCCGGCTAAGAAAGAGCTTTTAGGCTTTATAGTCTGAAACCACCACGGACCATCCTTAGACAAGTCAGGTTTTATAACTCGTGGCAACAGGATCACTGGGGGTGAGAGGTGTACAACTGAGGTATCTCGCCACGTAAAAGAGAAGAACGAGTATTATAGTATTTGGGAAAAGGGTGGGGTTTGGGTAATATGAAAAATGAAGAGATGGGGAGAGGGGAGGGTTGCTATGATTCTTGTTCGGTCTTGTGTTCTTGCCCCTCTGCCTGCTAACCTAGGTGTCTGACTTCTCCAGATTGGAGCTCTAGGCTAGAAGGGAGGAAAGGGGCAAGAAAGACTTTATTTGACATGCTTGTGAGCTGGGTGTTGGTGCTTTTTGGACTTGGTGACTTGGCCCTTTCTTTTCTAGGTAATTTTGTAAATTCTTCAAAATATCAACACTCCCCCACCCCCCCTTCTGTCACTCTCCCATTACCGGAAGCCTTTAATCTTCAATACCTTTTGGGCTGATGCAGTTTTATTCCAGGTGTTGTGCATTCCTTCCCCAGGCATAAGGAACCCAGTGACACTTTAAGCATCCTCTCTGCTGATGTTTATTCATTGGTCCAGGGCCTCCTTGCACCAACCTGATAGTCCATACCATGGTGGGGAGGAGGGCAATCTGACCCACAGGTGTTGCAGTTAGGGTCAGCCATCTGAGATGGAAATAATCATGCAAGGTGTTTATTAGGGCATACTCTCGGGTTCAGCACCTGTGGAAGGAAAAGGGAAAGAAGCAAGACTGGGCAGAAGGAAAAGCTGAGCTGTATTACAGTCTCAACACAGGCCTTGGCCAACTGTACAGGAAGTTTTAAAGCTGGTATGGCCCTGTGGAGTTGCCCTAAATTGGGAGCTACAACTTCATGCTTGGGCATAGCAGTCATCAGCTCCTTTTGACTGATGAGGACTGACACTGAGAGTAGTCTGCACTTTCAGGAGCTAGAAGTCAAGTCCTTCAGTCTTCACATCTACCACAATAGTCAACATAGCATTTTCCTCAAAAAACTCTAGGAATGCAGACCAATTCTAACCTCAAAGCAAACTCTCCTTCACTCCTCCCATCCTTTCTCAGCTGTTCATCCTTTCTCAGCTTTTAGATTTTCTTCAGGCTTTTGTATTCTTTGAAATCCAAGAAGTTCTTGAGGTGGTCTCCTGAGATGAAGGGAAACATTTCCTCTATCATAGTACTTTAAGAATGTCTACCTTTTCAAACCCTTTCTGATCTCTAACTTCCAATTTCTGTACCCTCCATGGGAATCAGGGATTTAAGGATCATCCACCAGGTTTCTGACCAATTTCTTTGAAATTTCTGCATCTTAATACTATACCTCCTTTAGAATGTGCCTCAGCTGAAGACTTCCATAATTACACTTGCATAATAAAATAAAATGGCCTTCACCTATTTCCTCCAACGACTAACTACACTCACTGCCCACAGTTGGAATAATTTCAGAATCTGTAGTTCTAGGGCTGAGAACCCTTAGCAATGGATCTCTTCTTTCTCTTCCTCTTCTCTATCTAGTAATCGCTCACATCCTCCACCTTTGTTGAGCTGATTTTCTCCTCACACCAATGTGGTTTTGATTTCCTTTTAGAGTTCTCTGCCAACCCTCACTTCTTTCAAAGTCCAGGTTCTTTAAGAAAATTTCCCTGGATAATTGTAGCTTTTGAAAGTTTATCATCACATCAACAGTTTCAGTTCAACAACAATTGCATACTGTGTGCAGAGCATTGTGTCCATAACCCAGTTTTCCATTAGTTGCATCTATATTCTATCAATTTGGATTTTGGGTAATTGCTGTTGTGGTTATACCATGCGTTGCTACTGAGGTTCTCCTGAGCAAATATCATAGTAAAAATGGCTGATGATCTAAAGAGATCAATGATGGCCCTAGTTCTTTAAAAAAAATATGGCCTAATTGTCATTGCTATCCTTCATAACCTTGAAATTGCCTTGCAGATACTCCCAAAACACAAACCCAGATTTGCTGAGATTCTGAAGATGTTCCCCCGATATAGTGACTACCAGTTTTCTTTCTCATTACACATACTATATATACATTTAGCATGCATTCTGACCTTGGATAACCATTGATCAGTGCCAAAGTTGACCAGACAAGTGAGTGTGCTCACAGGTGACCAGATATAGGATGCCAGCAGAGACTCAGGATAATAATGTGTTTGGTTTTCTGAATCCTAAACCATCAGGGGATGAAGTCTAATTTCCAATTTTATTATCTGTTTTCCTTGTTTATGCTGGATATAACCCACCTACTCTGCATTTTGAGAGGATAACTCTGAACACACATAGAGTGAGGAATAAAATATCTGGCAGGTGGCCTTTTGCAGACCAAAGATGGCCACAAGTACGTTTCACATTTCTCCCATTGAAAGAAGAAATTTATGACTAGGATGGGCTAAGGTTTGTGGGAGCAAGTGCAAAATGGAAGTGAGTGCACTTGTTCAAAAAGCGTGAAGAATTTCAAGATGAAAACTGTTAAATCACGACAGCAGCCCATTTGAGTATTGAGCCCTGAGAGGCTCATGTGGGGCTCTTCAAGGGGTTGTGTGGTAATGAAGCCAGCTTGTTTACTCAACTCGTCTTGAGTCTGGGTGAGCCATGTGACTGCTTTGACCAACAGACTATGGCAGAAGTGACGCCGTGACAGTTTTTCCAGCCCAATCCCTGAGAGAATAGCAGTCCCAAGTATAGTGTCCTGGAATACTCTAGGAGCCTTGTGCCACCATGTAAAGAAAACTGTAACCCCAAGACTGCCATACTGGAGAGCCCAGGTGCAGGCATCCCACACGATACTCTCAGCTGTGCCTGACCCTCCACCCACATTTTCCAAGGCACAGGAAGTAAGGCCATCTTGGACTTTTCAGCACATTCACTACCTGGATACAAATGGACATCAGTAGGGACCACAGAGGGCAGAATCACTCAGCCAACCTCTGCCCAACTTCCTGCCTCACAAAATCATGAAATATAAAATTGATATTGGTTTAAGTCATTAAATTCGGGGGTAATTTGTTCTTACACCTAGATCAAGAAAAACAAATCCTCTGCATTTGATCTGGGTAGCTTGTAAAATTAAAAACAATGCTGGTACCTTTTAGAAAATATGTCTTGTCTGGGCATGATGGTGTATGTCTATAATCCCAGCAAATTAAAGGCATAGACATGAGGATTGCAAGTTCAAGGCCAGCCTAGGCTACATAGTAAGACTGTCTCAAAACAATAAATATGACTTATAGGATAAATGTCATATGTAATTTTGGTCAGAATTATTTGGGACACTTCTTAAAAATTGAGGTAGTTTAACTTCTAAGACTGGAGTCTTCAGTCTTAGGCTCCCAGCTGGTGTTTATGTACTCTTTAAGATCTCAGAACTACTGAGATTGCATAAAATTTGTGACCAGGAATGATTTAATTTGCTGCTACTCAAAGAGTGATCCACAAGCAGCACCATCAGTGTTACAATGAAGCTCGTTAGGAGTCAGATTCTCAGATACCATCACACACCTGCTGAATTGCAATTTGCAGATTAAAACTGCATCACTGCCCATGATTTGAATATCTATTAAAACTTGAGAGACACTGCTGGAGAATACCGTTCTTAACCTTGGCTGCATATTGAAAACCACCTGAAGAAGTTGAAAAACCAAAAGACTACTGCCTGGGTTTCACCCCCAGGCCAATTAGATCAGAATCTTCAGGGGCTGGGCTCTGCCCACCATTATGTTTGAAAAGCTCCACAGAGAAGTTTAATCAGTAGTTAAGTTTGAAAGCCAATGGTTTCATCTCTGCCCCTGTCTCCTTATTGCCTACTCGAGCACAGTCTTCTTTGGTAAGCATCTGGGTGTAAGTTTGCATCCAGGTTCCTATTTGGGCCTTTCGTCAGCTTACGATGGGATGGCACGTGTGATTTTGGCTTTGTAGATAGCATCGCACTTCAACTATAGAGACAGACATGGCCTCACAAATGGTCATAATGTCCCATAGAAAATGTAGCACCTTGGCAAGCCAGGAGTGGTGGTACTTGGCTGTGATCCCAGCTACTCAGACAGTAGAGGCAGGAGGATCTAGAGTTAGAGGTCAGACTGGGCAAAGGAAGCCAGACCGTTTCAAAAAACAAAATAACAAAACAGGGCTGAGGTCAGAGCTCAAGTGCTTACTTATCTCCAGTGGTGTGTGTGTGAGGGGTCGGGGAAGGGTTGCACCTTGGAATAAATGA